GTGGTGGTCATGTGTGAAACACTCTAGGTGATTAGTAAAGCAGTTTTAGACTGACTAGTTTTGTTGTATGGACTATTTTAAAACAAATTTTCATGGAAAAAAGTCAGATTGCAGGATCAGACGAACTACAAAGAGAGAGAAATGTAAAAAAGGGTTAAAAAAGTAAAACTGTTAAGTGCTTGCCCCACAACTTTTCGTCCTTCGCCTGGAGGATTTAATGTACCTTACTAAAGGTACCTCCTTTTCATTAGCTTCAACAGCTCACGGCACCCCTCTTCTTGATTTTCAAGAAATTGTCGATGGCTTATAAAAATGTAGCTGGTTTATTATTAAAGCAATTTCCTCTGCTAAAGGTTAGCACTTTTACTTTACTTGTTGGCCTTAGTATAGCAAGTTGCAGCACATATTTGCACTTACTAGCATTTATTAGTGTTTGCCATACACCAACATGGCCACATACAATTTAATGGCATTACATGGAATCAATCCATTGCTTAAGAAACAAGTCTTTCTAAGCTCTTTTTACTTTTTGCCATTTATGGTGATTTATTTATGATTTTAAAGCCAATAATTGTCATTTAATTGGTATTGTATTGGTATGTGTTATTATTTTATTTGTCAATCTAGTTGGTTCTTCATTGGACACAGGAAAATGTTTCAGGCTGTTGCTGTATCTCCTGTCTGTTCCTCTTTAGGATTATCACCCCCAGGTTAAGAATTCTTCTGAGAACATGCCTCCCACTCCAAGTGTTTTCACCGATCCCTTCTTCATGGTGGAAACCATGTGTATTTGCTGGTTTTCCTTTGAGCTCATCATGCGCTTTTCTTGCGCTCCAAGCAAGATCACCTTCTTCAAGGATGTCATGAACATCATTGACTTTAGCGCCATCCTGCCATACTTTGTCACCCTTGGAACTGAGCTCGCTAAAGACGATGACGCATCTCCAACCACATCCTTGGCCATCATCAGAGTCATCAGGTTGGTGAGGGTCTTCAGGATCTTCAAACTGTCTAGGCATTCCAAGGGGCTCCAGATCCTTGGTCAGACACTAAAGGCCAGCATGCGTGAGCTCGGCCTACTTATCTTCTTCCTGTTTATTGGAGTCATAATTTTCTCTAGTGCTGTCTATTTCGCAGAAGCTGACCACCATACAACAGATTTTGTCAGTATACCACACGGCTTTTGGTGGGCAGTAGTCACAATGACCACTGTGGGGTACGGTGATATGTACCCAGCAACAGTGTGGGGTAAAATGGTTGGCTCTATGTGCGCCATTGCCGGTGTTCTTACTATCTCCCTGCCTGTGCCTGTCATTGTTTCCAACTTCAGCTACTTCTACCACCGAGAGACGGAATGTGAAGATCGAACTGAGTACATTCATGTTCAAACTTCCCTGTGGGAGGATGAGGCGCCTGAAGAAGAGGAGAACGAGGAAGGGGATAGGGATCAAGATCAGGAATTTTATGCCAGTGAAGGCATCTGCAACCCTCTGAATGGGACTTTACTTGGCAGACTATGTGCTGGCCAGATGGCAGGGCACACAGGAGGGAACATGTATCTGAGGGAACCACTAGTAACACAGGTTTAGGTAGAGTGGGGCTTTGTATCCTTAGACAAAAACAGCACCGAAGTGTTATATAAAAGCTATTTATAACAAGTGAAAGGACTGGTGGGACTTCTTTTAAACTCCATTAAATACCTTAAGAAGGACAGTGGGCAGTTATATTACCTCCGAAAATGTTGTATTGGTTATATTTTTTCCTTAACTGCAATTTTATCCCCTAAACCCAGCTAAATATATCTGGAGATTATATATATATATATATATATATATATATATATATATATATATATATATATATATATATATATATATATATATATATATATATATATATATATATATATATATATATATATATATATATATATATATATATATATATATATATATATTCATAAAACAGCTCAGACTAGCATACTAGCAACTTTTTATTCTCAGGGTAACGGTATCAAAATAACTCACGCTAACATTTATAAGACAAAGACTGAGAAAGTATGTGCCTTGAAACTATGACGTCTTATTTATTTTTACTTTAAGGGTTGAAGTACAAGCAAGATATTTGATTGTTACACCATATCAGAACTCAGCCAATCAGTTGTTAAGCTGCCTCAGAAGAAAGACTGGGATCTGTCCTGATCCAAATCCACATTCTCAGCACTCTTTTGTAAAAGTATAGAAAGACCTAGTTTGTCTGTTATTTTAATTACAGGATTTTTGTATATGTAGGTTTGCTATGCAATGGAATTAATATATTTAATTTATGCTTTATTTGCTCAATGTTTTTATTCAAGATTACTATTCTATCAATTTTCTTGAAAGCTGTTGTCTCCTTTGGGTGGTTAACTTAAAAATATATGATGAAAGATTTATGCTATTAATGTATGCTATTGTTGGCAAATATACCATTAGCCAACTGAAAATTGTACTTTTCTATTTCATTATAAAAGAAAAATATATAAATATTTACAGGCAGTTGTGTCTGATCTTTTGCTGTATGGTGGTGTTGCCAAATAAGTTTTAACACTGTTCCTTTCTGTTTCAATTCAACTCATCACAATTTCCATTACATCAGAGAAGGACCAACAAAGGGTATCCAGACTATTGTAATGCTGCGTACATAAACCACTTTAGTAACTAGCTGTAAATTGTTTGTGTAGCAGCCATTAAAGGCTGCACAGATGAAATTAGTTTAAAGTCCAGATTCTTGCTTGCAGTAGGAGATGAGTTAAGAAGGAAAAGCAGGATGATTTTCATTATACGGATTTAGTTTTTTAACAGATAATTTAGACATTTCTTTTCTCATAGCAGCAGAGTGACTACTATCTCTCATGTATAGTGAGAAGTGTCCCTCTTTGCACCACTAATATCTATGTAATAAGCCTTATAACTATAAGCCATAACTTTTTTTGCAAGACACAACACACAAAAACAGACAGGAATAAATTTTTTTATTTGAGTAGGTCTGTAGTTCTTTTGGGTACACTTAATGAGTAATTATTGCATTTAACAAAATCATAAGCGCTATTGTTGCTGGTAAGTCTGCTGTGAAAGTTCTGTGAATCTTCAATTGGTCAAAAGGGGTCGCATAGTTTTATGTAAAGAACTGGGGGCTGCAAAGGACATGGGAAGGAATGATTTGTGTCTGGCAAAAACAGGTGTGTTGATTTAGCCAATATGGTGGATAAGAGTTATTTCCAAAAGGGTCACCATTCCTCTATGGTCTTTTTTCTGGTTGATGAAAACAGACCGTGATATCAGACATTTTCTGATATTCTTCAGTTGTTTTAGAACAAGCCTAGTTTGTCAATCATCAAAATTAGATTGCAGGAATAAAAATGCTAGGTCCTAATACTCTTCTAAATAAATGCATATATTTTTGCTGTTCACACCAGATTTGCTTTTTGTTTATTTTACTGTTTTTGTCATTTTATTTTGTGCAAGACTAAACAGTTTATCTCATAGAGCCTCACTGTCAGTAGCCTAAAGAAAAAGGCTTCTGTGTAAGAGTACTTTTATATCCCGAGCAACATAAAAAATTAACTAGTTATGATCATTACCCTTGGATAATACTAATTATTTTATTGTGGGGTTTTCAGTCTGCAACAACATTTGACTTTCTCTAGGCTTTAAAATATAAGACTAAGTATGGATGAAGCTGAAGCTGATGGGGTAACCTACATTTTGTTTTGTATTGTTCCAAACAAACAAATAAACAAAAGGTTAACCATTTTTTTCTGGTAAATGACTAAAAAAGCCAAATCTCTCTATAATCATTGCTTTGGTTGTTTTGAGGTAAAGGAAGTCTGTATATTTAGTGTTCTTTTAAAAATAAAGCCAAGGGGCAAAAAAGAATAGAAACCATGATATCCAGAGGTTACGGAACAGAGTATTTTCATTTATTTTTAACCTTAAATGTAAAGCTGAGTTTGTTTTACAATTTTCTCAGTTTTACAATTTTGCATTAAAGATTTTTCTTTCTCTTCCTGGTTCAGGGCACTAAAAGGAGTTTCAAGAATAAAACATAATATAAATGCACCTTATTTTCCCTTTATATGGAAATTCAAGTTAAGCCTCAGGAAAGTGAAAGGAGACATTCACACAAAAGGGAAAAAAAGAAAAAAAGAAAAAGTTAAATAAAAAGCGAGACTAAACAGTGTGGGAACCGTAGAAAAAAAAATGCTGTCCAGCTTCTAAAGATAAAATACTCAAATTCAAAAGTAGAATAATTCAAAAACTGTACAAAGTGTGCATTAACAATTTAAATAAAAACAACTTCAGACTATTTACAAATTGGAGAAAACAGTGCAATTAACAACAAGGTTGTAAACATTAACTGATTTTGTTAGGATAAGTGATGACTATAAAGTCTAACAGCTGCTGGGAGGAAGAGTCTGGTATATTACTCTTCTGTGAACCTGTGATGAAGCAGGCTGTCACTAAAGTACTGCTAAAGTTCTGCAACAGCTTCAAGCGTGGGATGGGACACATTGAACTTCTCAGACATATGCAGCTGCTACTCTGTATGTAAACTAGGAAGCTATCATATGTTTTTTCCCTATGTAAGCAAAGCAATCATGCAGATTGGCTTGAAACTCAAAAATAAAACTTTGAGCTGCTTTGCGTTCCTTTATAATTTCATCCACTAGAGGGCAGTCCTGCTTTCACATCGGACATTTTTTCCTCTACTGTGCAGGGAAGGAGTGAACATCAGCTCAGAAGTTATGATTTTAGCTGTATATTGGTAAAACAGACATCACAATGATCTTCTGGATTATATTAATTTGCACTGAAAATGTACTTGCAGGCTGAGGGAGAAGGAAAAAGCTTGAACTGTGCAAACAATTTCCCAGAGTAGGAAATTGGGAAGAAAAAAAAAAAATCATATAATTAATATTTAAAAAAAATACTTAAAGACATAAAATATTCTCAGAATAAATTAGAATTTCAACAATATTTAAATAAAAAATAAACTAAATAAATAAATAACTTAAGTCGAAATAAATTTCACTGAAACATTCTGAAAAACAAATAATAATAACAGCAACAAGAAAAATAAATAATGTCAACTCATGTGTCAAAGTTAAAATCCCAAACAGCCCTAATTTTTCTTTTTGCAGTAAAATTTTACTTATCCATAAATTGCTGAGGACTGACCATTGTGTCCTGTCCTATCCCAAAAAGGTCTTCAGAGTCTATGTTGAAGTTCCTATGAGCTTTTGTTGATTCCTCAGAAACATTCTCCATTGGTAAAGTATTCCTTAGAGGTAGGAATCTTGTGAAAGGAACTGAGTGTCGATCAGGAGAATTTCTAGCGGCCAAGGATAAAGGGATCCCATTGTGTGAGTTAAGGAAACGGGTGTAGCCATCAGCCAGCAGGAGTTCTCTGAAGGAGCAGTCCGCTTCCTCATATACTCTCTGAAATGAAATGGTATTGAGTTGAATAAGTCAAAGAAAGAGGACTGGAAAAGAGTCAAAAATTGATCATGTTTGAATTCTCTTTTATCTTACCTGCCCCCTTAGATTTCCCATGCTATCCATGCAGAGAAACATGGATGATGAATGTCCCTTTATGACAACATGGCCCTGTTTAACTGATTTTAACTGCAACACACCTGGAAAAGAGAAATTTGCTCAGTTTCATATATTGGAGATTTTTTTCCTTATTTCTGAGTGTGATGACAAGCTCAAATTCCTGTACTTAAACAGATATTTATATATATAAAAAAAGAAATTCTTGATTTTTTTTATTCAAAGTTCCCAGCCAGTCTGATAAATTTGAAACATATAATCTTTTAACAATTGCTTCAGTTAAACTTATACTGTGAGAATAATTGATCGTTTTCTATTGATAAATGTATTTAAACTTTTTTTAATTATTTTTTCTTATTTGAGATTGGAGTATTTCTTTCCATAGGCTTTTTCACATAATTCCAAGTGGTGCAAAAAAAAAAAAAAGAATCCTGTTTTTACAAATATAGTGTTTTAATCATTTAGTTACTCACTATATGGGGTCTGAGCATCACTTCCAGTCACTCTCCCATCCAGGTTTATCTGCAAATACAGCCCATGCCTGTGATTTTCTGAAACAAAATAAAGGAAGGAAAGGAATACACGTATTTAGTATATATTCATAAAAAATCTTCTCATTACTTTGATTTCTATATTAAGCATTGAATACAACTAAAATGGAGAAGCAAATACTTTACATACCTGTATAGAGATGGACCTCTCTGTGCGGATTACTGAATGCAAAGATTGGATTGGATTCAGGGAGATAAAATGACCAGGAAATTGGAAATGTCAGGATAAGAACAAGGATGGGAAACGGGTAGAAAAACAGGTTATAAAGAAACAAAAACATTTTGAATTAGGAATAAAGGAAATGTTGAAGAAAACTGATCATAAATAGCTTGAAAATAAAAACAAAATAAATTAATAATAAATAATAAATATGAAATTCTTGAGTCTGTGTGATGAACTTCTAAAGTCAAGGAAGTTTGGTGCTCTTATAAAGCAGTTAGGAGAAGGAGGTCCAACTTCATAAGAGAATGTATGAGTCACACCTTTTTACATATGCCTATTAAACTTGGATCCAGAGCAGAGTGGAACACATGTTCAATGATATTGTTTAACAACTTTGAAAAATCATGTCTATTTCAATTTATAAAAATATCAAATTTATTAATCTTGTTTTAAAATTTCCAAATATCCTAAAGTGAAATGCTTTAACATATGCAATACATTCTGAAAATTCCCGCGTCACTGTTTATATGAAATGTTCTACATGTTACCTCAACACACAGCTATGTGACTCCACAAACCTCAAACTAACTCACATCAGTGAGGTAAATCCTTTTGTCACATTCACACATTTACCGTAACCTACGTGCCTTTCCCTGCTGTCGTGCACTTGAAAAATAAACACATTTCAAAACCAAAAAAGAAGATATCACGCTAGCACATCCCTCTGCGTCATGGGCTGGATCAAAAGGTGGCAAATGAATATTAGAAGAAGTGACGAAGGCTATGTTTTGGACTTTATGGTGTTTATTCTGTTTGATGTATTGGTGTTTTAGAGAGAAAGAGAAGGAAGGAGTGGGTTGAAACAAATTTCATAGTGTTTACAGGACTGCAGCTGTGGAGACAGCAGAGAGAGGACGCACGTCAGACTGTAAACTTAATGGTTAAGAAACGCTGCCTGGCATCCATCGAAAATAACACTTCACATTGCATCATTACTTGTTTTATGATAGTGTGCTTAAATCACTGATGCTTCCAATGTTTTGCTATTTTTGCAATGCAAAATATTTCATTATGTAAAAGAGAAAGTAAGGATACAAATATATATGAGAAACAAATCACAGTCAGTCTTTCCGTTGCCTTCCATTTTCAGAGCACATAAGCATCTTAAAAATCCTGCACCGTCATACACACTAAAACAGGAAGACACTGCCATATATGGGTGATGGTGTAGTGTTTGTCAATAGGAAATATTCCATGGTAATCCCCAAACCGACTGTTTTCTTCTTAAAAAAAAAAAAAAGCCTCAAAACAACCTCTTACAGTAATACTGCAGATATATTGGTACTAACAAAAATGAACATGCTCTGCACATTATCGTCGAAGCAAAAAACATTGATGACCTCTGTGGAAGAAAAGGGGGGGGGGGGGGATGAAAAACTTTTCTTCATCCATAAAAAATACTTCAATCCTATAAAAACAGTTTTTGTCATAGGGTTCTGAAAGAAACTGGGCTCTTCACCGCAAAAAAGTTTTTTTGAAGACGTTTCAACACCAAGAGTCTGTCAATTCTGTTGGCTCGTGAGCCAACTGAGCGAAAGTCTGGTTGCCTTCCAATTTGAGCCTGTTTGACTGAAAATTTACACAGGCAACTGGGCTCTAGGTGTTAAGGACAGAGACAATGTAAAGTTTATGCATAAGGACACAACACAGATGTGACGGAAAGCTGAAGTAGGAAGTAAACGTTTGACTGGCGAGGTGACCGTTGGTGTTGTTTGTGAGAATAAAGTTAACCTGTATACGAAAAGATTTCTTTTATAATGATTATCAGTACCACCTATCTGCTAATGTTTGGGGACAGCTCTTAATCATTGACCAATTCTTCAGTATACTTCCTCCTGTTTAGCCGCAGCAAGAGGATTCAGCAGATAGTTTTATTCATTGTGTCTGAGCTAAATTCATTTCACTTCAGTTTATTTATAGTGGCAAATCACAACACATATCATCTCAAGGCACTTTACAATTTAACCAGATCATACAGTCAAATTGATTTAGAGTTTTCTATGTACCGAAAACCAGCAGATTGCCTCGACTCATTGACTCGAAGGCAATTTCTCACACCAAGCATGTTTGTAGGAACAGTGGAGAGGAAAAACACCCTTTTAACAGAAAGAAACCTCCAACAGAACCAGGCTCAGTGTGAGCAGCCATCTGTCGAGGCTGACGGAGGTTCGGGAGAAAGGGGCAGAGATGGCAAAAGAAGCAGAGATACAAAGGCAACTGTAAACCAGCTCCACAGCCAGTCGAACGAGCTCAGAGCCAGCCCCCATGTCAGAGAACAAAGAGAGCACATCCAGCCAGTCACAGTCAGATAAACAGGACAACACTTAGGACAGACCAAGCTTGAACATCTATAAACGAAGGTGTTGATGGCAGCAGCACAGCTGATATTTCTCTCCAGGATGGTGTCACAGTCAAACAGGAACAGACCAGAAGAAGCTACTATGAGAAAAACCATAGAGAAGAGAGCATAAAGTTAGAGATTGAACTAACAAATTCTGCAGAGTGGGAGATTAGAGATAAAATGAAGCAGAATGATGAAAAAGGAGTCCTTAACAGTGATGGGACTAACGGCGTTGAAAGTAACGGCGTTACTAACGCCGTTACCTTGTTTTAGTAACGAGTAATCTAACTAATTACTTTGACTGTAACTATAACGCAGTTACCATTGCAGGCACCCCGTTACTGCGCGTTACTCAGGTCGCACAATGAACCTTTTTTCATGATAGGACTCGTGCGCAGCTGCGTGAAGCTGACACCCCACCCACGTCAAAAAACTCTGCAAATAGACTGAATGGTTAGTGCAACGTTAGTGCAGATTTGTGCAGAAAAAAATATTGTTTGTGCTACTTTTGTTTAAGAGATATTAAAGATTTATTTTAGGTCATCCAGAGGTGCGCGCCTTGTCATGAGAGAGGGGAGGATGAGATTCCGTCTGTCAGTTGAATAGGTGGGTGTTTCTGCTGGTGGGTGTTAACGTACAGCACACACAGAGAAATGGAGAGTGAGGATGACTCCAGCAGCAAAACAGCGTTTTCCACATGGAAATACCGGTGTTACGTCGAGCTGCGTTTCACCATCACATAACGGTTTCCTCTGCTTCTCCACACAGCGCAGGCGGCAAGAGTCACCGCGCAAGCGACAGGAAACGCGCATGCTCGCTAAAGGCGCGCAACCCTGTGCTCGCGCCACAGGAGAACTATGGAGAGCGTGAACGATCAAATGAACCTGACAACAGCCAGAAATGATAGCCTATATGGAGAAAGGGAGAAATCTGGATGGATGGATGGATGGATGGATGGATGGATGGATGGATGGATGGATGGATGGATGGATACTCTGCCTTCTCAACCTACTGTTTTTTTTATTTTAAACATTATTTGATGGCCTTTGTGGCAGGGATGGAGATCCATATTTTATGTCACACACAGAGTATACATCTAGATAGATAGATGGATAGATGGATGTTGCAGTATCTATAACAACCCAAACACACAGGATTTCAGAATTAGACATCCCCAGTTATTAATTTCATATACTCACCGGATCTGAATGTCCTGTTATAAAACTTCACATCGCGTTCCCCCCTGATGTCATTTACGTTGAGTTGCAATAAATGCTAAACTGTCTGCAGGTTCTTGTCTTTGTCGTCCGCTCTATTCAGCTGGCTTTGAAAACACACGGCGAGAAGGTGGGGGCCGGGTGGTGAGGTTTACGGGGGCGAGAAACGCAAAAGTAACGCAATAGTTACTTTTACTAGTAACTAGTTACTTTTATTGTGGAGTAACTCAGTTAGTAACTCAGTTACTTTTTGGGAGAAGTAACTAGTAACTATAACTAATTACTTTTTCAAAGTAACGTGCCCAACACTGGTCCTTAAGTCCTTCAGCAGTCTAAGCCTATAACAGCATAACTATAGAGATAGCGCTGCAACCTGAGCCCCTCTAACTATAAGCTTAATCAAAATGGAAAGTTTTAAGCCTACCCTTAAAAGTAGACAGGGTGTCTGCCTCATGCACTAAAACTGGTAGTTGGTTCCACAGGAGAGGAGCCTGATAACTAAAAGATCTGCCTCCCGTTCTGCTTCGAGAAATTCTAGGAACCACTAGTAAACCTGCAGATTGAGAGCGAAGTGCTCTTTTAGGAACATAAGGAACATCATATCTCTGATGTAAGATGAATCTTGGCCATTTAAAGCTTTATATGTGAGAAGGAGGGTTTTAAATTCTACTCTGGATCTAACAGGAAGCCAATGAGGAGAAGCAAGGATAGGAAAGATATGATCTCTCTTATTAATTTTCTTCAGACCTCTGACTGCAGCATTTTGTGCATGTGCACGTGCATGTCTTATCGAATCTTTCCCAAATTTGTGGGCTTTTTTTTTAAATAGAGGTCATCTGCCACTGTGGGAAATTACAGCCAGCTTTGGCAATACAAAAAAAAGAAGTTGTGCTTTTAGATCCCACTGCAGTGTGCCAGGGATCTACATTTCAAACAGCATACCTCCTGATTTTTCTTCACTAGATGAGTACACATGAAGTGTCAGTTAAGTTTAAGGGATATACTTTAATATTGTTGTGTTTGCCCTATGTGGCTCAGTTTTTACCATTTTCTACACATTTTTTTGTGATTTTGGTAACAGGTTGAATATAAAGTACTGATTGTGATCAAAGGTTTAAAACGAGTAGAACATTAATTAAAAGAGGGAAATGAGAATCTGAATTTATTTTATCACAACACACAGTAAGAACGTTGGGGGCCAAAAATAATGGAGGATGACCTAACATATATTTATATATATATATATATATATATATATATATACAAAACATTTTTTTTTCTTTTTTTTTCAACTTTTTAAACTAAGATAGTATCACATGTATCTGTGATAAAGCAGGATCGGAAATAAAAATACCAGAAAAAAAAAACAAGAAAACTATAAATATAAATAAGGAGTAAATAAGGAGTAATTAGAAATATGCTTTATTTAATCTGTAATTTCAGCAGCGCAGTATTTATATTTTCTTTTATCACTCAATCTTAAGGCTGACCAGTTTACCTCTCAAGCTGGGTGCTGTTCTTAACAAAAATGCAGTTCTTCATTGCCCAATCTGAATACAGTGCAAGTCCTCCTGATATCTCCAAGAAAACCAACCCATCCATATTTTAGAAAAAAACTAAGACTCTTCACCAAATAATACTTTAAACTTAAGAATTGTATTCAAGATTTAATATAAGTATAACAAAGTTATAAAATCCAGCATGAAGCCTGTGATTTTTTCTCATTAATCTCCCTCTTTTTTTATAGTTTTACTTGTTTGTGTTGCTTGTTAATGCAAATACATTCTACCTTGTAGGAGTCAGGGCTGTCTAGGCAAAATAAAGCAGTAATTTATTCTGTGTTATGCCAAATAAATGGTCTGTTTTTTTAACATCACTGACCGATCTTTGATAGACCAAAGAGTGATTTGAACCATGCAAACCAATAGAACCATGAAAATTGGTCAGATAATCATTAAAATAAACTTTGGACTGCAAATTTCTCATCATTATGTATTAAACGATAGGAAAGCCAGTTTAAGCACAAATCCAAGTGTGGCCTAGTGATTAGGGCATTGCACATGGAATCCAGAAGTTCTGAATTCAAGCCCCACTCCCACGGACTGTCACCCTGGGTCCCTAAGAAAAATCCTTAACCCCCACACTGCTCCCTGGGCCCCACACAATGACAGCCCACTGCTCCCTAAGGGGATGGGTTAAATGCAGAGTTCTTTTCTATTAAAGGTCTTATGTATTATTGTTTTTGCCTTCTAAAGTCTACTAAAGGCATTTATATTATGGAGTATTTAAATATTAAATATTTTAGTTTTCAAACCAGGAAACTGCAATGGTATCTCTTTTTATTGGCTCTGTCGCACGTTTCATGAAATCGCCCCTTCTAGCAATTAGGCTCCTCTGTAGGACTGCAGAACAAGACTGAGAACTCTCCCGAGTAAAAAACACATTTCACAACTTAGCAAAAAAAAAAAAAACAGTTGCTGTCACCGTGCAGATTAGCTACTAAGGGTCCATTTCCTTCCAACTTTGCGAAGAAATAATCATGGTTTAATTTACGTCATTCCTGCAGATTGGAGAAAGTTGATTTGCTGTTTACTGGGCCGGTAGATTCAGGTATGTTCTTCCTTGCGGTGAGGGGGCTATGAAAGCCCTATGTTATGTCATTGCCCCTTTTCTTTCCAGGACAGGGAGTGTCACTTGCTCCGGAAGCAGAATTGACAACGCTCAATCATTATTTTGATAAATAATTAAGTTAAAAGCTATAAAAGTGGATTTTGCCTTAACAAACATCTCAAAATTCACATTACATATGTGTTTATCATAAATAGAATGTAAATCCACCTGTACTGCTATGTAAAATAAAGATCTAACTGTCTTTCAAAGTGAAAATCAGTTTGAACTAGCATCAGGTCAGATGTTAAATCTAACATTATGTTAAATCAGACTCCCTATGGTAAAATTAGCATTGTGTTATGCCCTGCTTCCTCCAATAGCCGTTCATCTTTTAGCACAAGATAGTTAGGAAGGAAATTTGCACTGCTTCATTAGTCATTGTACGGCAAAAACTACAAAATCAGCAAAGTTACAGGTATGTTTTTTTAATTACAGCTTTTACAATCATGTTCATTATTGTCATCATACTATGTTCAATTAATGTCACTACTCTCCAGTTATATGAATTTAAATCATTACACAATGTGTTTTCTTTTTTGCCAAAATGTACACATACAAGTAGCATATCTTAAATGTCCATAGTTTAAAACATATTTCCTTTTATCAACTGGAAAATGAAATTACAGTCAGTCTCAAAACTTAGTATGAAATGAACAAACGGTTTAATACACACACATACGTACTGTACATACATACATACAATAGCAGTTATCATAAAAATGATACAAATAAAATACACACGTTTTACAAAGTCCTGACCCAAGCTTTCACTTCTCTAGATGACTGATATTATGAAGTTCACTCTGAAACGACAGATTTTGGCATGCATATTAACACAAATGCTTCCAATCTAAACTTTTTTTTTTCCTGGTTGGATCAGGAGTTTCTCAATAATCACTTTCCCAACTCTAATCATTGGTCCTATTCCCATTTGTGCATCTCATCTTCACAATGGCTTCACAGCACATTGGTATTCCACATTAGCCTCCACTTCAGCACATTTTCATGTAGCTGAAGGTTATCAGGAGTATTTTCTCCTATCAGTTGATAATAAATCTGCCATTTCTCTTTAACAGTAATGCTTTTTTCAATTTCATAAAAAACTGTAAATTCATTGTCAATATTGCCGTCTCAGAAGAAGAAAATGAATTTACGATAGGCCATGGTCACTTTCTACAGATTCAAACATGATCATCATGCCACAACTATGGTGAGAAAGAGACGCACAGGGAGAGAAATAGAGAGAGAGAGAGAAACTGATGGAAAATGGACATTCACTCGTTATTTTGTTTTAAGAAATCATTCACACACTGTCTTTGAATATTTGAGGACAGATGGCTCCAATGCTGTTGGCCGTCTTCTAATGTGTCCATTTTTGCTCTTCAATATATTATTTTTCTTGAAAAATTTGTTTTTCTTTAGACTGAAGTACAAGTGGGTTCTAAAAGACAGAAATAAAATAATTAGAGTAAAAGAATTATCGGAATTATTTGTGATTTCAGGTCATGCTGCTTTTGGGTAGAATTCTCACCTGGTGTGCTTATATTTAGCAAGAGTATGTTCTCACAGAACCCGACTCTCCTCTGGGGCCGGGGTTAGCTGATAAAGAGAAGAAGGAAATTAGCTAACAGAGCTCTATACTGTAGTTAACATTCAATTCGATGGATAGACGTACAGATAGATGGAACTTTTTTATAAAAGACTGCAGGAAGAATTCCATAAGTATAATAATTTTAAAGTCATTTTCCACATCAGGAAAATTCTCAAATTCTGTACTTTTCGAACATGCATTGCAACCCTTCTACCTAACCCTTGTTCTAATGAGATGTATTTTTTGGGATTTTTTGTTTTTCTACCTACATTATATTAAATACCTAAACAATTTGCAACAAACAACTTGGCTATAACTGTGTCCGTACATAATGAAACTCATTGCTTAACGACTGAACCATGCTGTGCTGCAGCTTCTCACCTTCACTCTGGACCTTCCTCAGTGTGACAGAGGGGGTCGAAATAGCAGAGGCACGAAAGTTGGCAGGTAATGTTTCCGAGGAATCAGAGGTGACCCCACGGAGGTCCTTCTCCCGGAACATCTTTCTCCAAGATGGTGAGCGGGTAAATGTTTTTGTGCCATCCTGTAGATAAAGAAAATAACGGTACTGATTCAAAAACCCCACAGGATGCACAGCAGAGAACATCTATTAGACCCTCCTAATGAACTAGCATTTGACAAAGCACTCTCTTTTTGACAGCTAAGCCTTAAATGCTGTAACTAAGCAATTAGCGTCCATGTAAACACAGCTGAAACACTTTTGCGTGCCAAAGATGTGCAGGCGGTGGCATATGCACAACGAAAACTTGGCTTCCCCTATAAATAAGAGCTATGGGGCACATTTCACCTGATACGTTTGTCATTCAGAAGAATTTGACAAGTGTGCAACAACGGCTCTACTATATAGTCCTAATCAGACGGGTTACATTAAAGTTCAAACTGGCAACAATGATGTGGAGTGATTTTCCACTGACTGTTGCCTTTGTCATACCTCATCAGGCCTCCTTTCTGTTCCCATGGAGATCAGAGCATTGTACTCCTTCTCTAGGAGCTGCCTCGCCTGCAAAAACACAAATCAGACTCAGACATCAGCTGAGTTTTGGCTAGTTTGTGAGATGAAAATGGGATTGAGCTTGAAATAAGCCAGGCAGGTGTTGCACAAATATTTATAATAAGCAATAAATGTTGTAGTTTATGTGTAGAGCACAGTACCTGTGTGTTCTGATTTGGTATCTGAAGAAGAAGTGCCAAGTCTGTGTAGTCAAACGTGTCATCGAGAGCCAAGAGGGACCCATGCACCCCACTTTCTAAAAGGTTGTCTGCAAACTCTTTCAGACCGATGGACTGCATCCAACACATCACTCGCTCATTGGACCAAACCATCACATCTGGAGAGGCACATAGAAAAAGGGCAGAAGTTAGGCAACATCAATAAGGAGATTGATAAAGTGCACCACATTTATTGGCAGAATTATCAACCAGTAATAAAAATTTGTTTAACCTTCTATAGACTAATGGTTGTAAAGTTTGAAAGTTTAAAGGTTCCATATGAACATCATTGTTTTGCAGGGAGATTCTGTGATATTAATAATTCACCTCCAAACCAAACTTTAGAATCTTGTGACAATTCATAGTTATGAAACTCTGCAAATGATTAAAAAGTTGTTAAGAGAGGAGAAAATTTACAATGTTGGTAAAAAAAACCCAAAACAATTTAACTAACTTCCACTAATTCAATAAAATTAATAGCGTGTTAATTGTTTTTTTTTTAAGCATTTAGTGTGAGATCTTGTTTCTGCAATAAAATATGTACTTATTTTTGGACTTTTCTGTCATATCTTCAACATAAAAAGTAATAAAATCAAATCATTTAGCAGCTATTTGCGTAAATAAGACTCACCCGTGTTCTGATGCTGACTTTCTTCCCTCCTCCTCTCTAACTCTTTCCTGTCATAGTTGAGACGCTTCAAGCACATGATCCCATAGTGAAGACTCACCCTAAATGCAGAAAATAACACATTTTATCCTGTTTTTTCACAACTACAACAAAACACAATTCGGAAGTGCTGGAAAAGTAAAGACAAGAAACAGATAATCAACTTCTGTGTCTCACCTATGGAAACTGTCCACCATCTTCAGCTGTCCTCTCAGTTCCTTCTTGGTGAGGTGATCAAGCATACGGGCATCGACCAGCGACTCCATGAAGTAAGAGCGATACTGGGGTAGACCAAGACTGGGAAGCCATTCATTTCCAACCCACTCATGGTTCATGTCCCCATGGGCCAGAATCTGGAAGACCAGAGGATTGATTTATAAATTTCACTATTCTTCAGCTTTTCAAAGTATCTCACAAAGAACAAAATGTAATACTTGCTAGTTAAACAGATCTGACATCCAATTTTTGTCAAAAGCAGCCATCAAAAACATAAGACGATATTCCTTTAGTTCTATTTGTCATTTTTTAGACCTCTACCATCTATCAAGAGTATCACCCCAGGGCAGATGTTGGACACCTGCATTCATTACATTGACTTTATATTACACAAAAAAAATGGTTAACAGTATTTGTCTTCGTCCTAGATGCTGCCAGTTGCAGATGCTTCTGCTTGCATTTTCCAAAGAAATATTTTTTCTCACAAAACATAACAGTTTTTCTTTAAATAAAAGTTACTAATTATTATTATTTTCAAAACTGTTAGCCCAAACTATTGATCAAAATAGTTTGTTTATGACTTCATGAAGATGCATGGGGAATAATAATTAGAATTCTTCCAAATGGCCAACAGGAGGCGCATGACTGCTCATAGAGAAAAATACATTTTAATTATTAAGGAATGTAACATTTTTACTAATGAGTTTGTGACTTTATTGGCTTGTATTTTATTACTCCTATTACTATTTTTATATTTCAAAGATATATATATATATATATATTTATTTACTATTAAACAATTAAGCACATAATACTGTGGGACATGGCTATTACCCCTTTTATTGTTTTTAATGTTTTATTCCTATCCAGGATCAGAAGGAGAGGGGGAAATGTTGGTGAAATCACCCTCGTCTCTGTCACTTTCTTGTTTATTTCCATTTGACTTCTATGGTACATTGTAATATATCCAACTCAAAAAAGGTTCAGTCTAATGTTAATTTCACAAATATTAGAAATTGTTTTACAGATGATGAGATATTCCATTTCAACTGGCACGGTATTGCTAGAAAAATGTCCTGAATAACAGCATTTCAAGCAGAAAAAAACAAAGAAAACAAGAAAGAAAGAAAAAAAGCATTAAAGTTTCATTTTCTGTGTTATATTTTGGGAATGAAATGCTTTTACTGAGCGAATCCCCATTTTGTCAAAGCCTTCAAGCTAATTTACTTTTACCGTAATTAATACTGTAATTGTCATTCACTAAAGGCTGTGACACACAGGACACCTTGGAATAACATGTTAGTTTAAGCCTTGTTAAAATAAAATCAATCTTTTCTCACCTGATCCCAGCTGAACTCCTTCTGCTCCTTTTTGGTTTAAAAAGAATGTAAAGAATAAAGGGAAAGAGAGTTGGAAAGAAAAGGAAAGATCACCAGGTAGAAGTATGATGTTTTTTGCATGTGTGTGTTTATGTTTGTTACAGTGAATCAGTGCCAAGACAGAATGGAATGGAGAGGGAAAGCAGAAGAAGGAAAAGCTTTGTTAGTGAGTGAGAATTAGTGGGAAAAAACACAGCATTAAAACAGATTTCTAGGGAACAGCAGGGAAAAGTTGAAGCCAAACATTCCTAATCAGAGACAAAAAAAAAAGAAAAAAAAAGCTTTATTCAAATTGCTCACTTTGCAATAAACTGGTTTGTTAACAAAGGTGCTTCTATATAAGCACCTTGAAACAAAAACTGTTAACATAAATGAATACAAATCATAAATCCTGATTAGATATCATCAGATTCAAGCCTTACTGGTTTGGTAGCAGCAGCGAGTGACTCCATCTCTGCATGTGTCATCCAAATATTACTGGTCGACTGCAAAAACAGAAGTTAAACTCAGTCTCCTTTGCTTACATCAGAGCACAGATTTTTTCACTAAGGCTTACAGAACGAGTGCTGGCAGGTGCTGAGGGACTCGTGAGGGAAACCATTTCCTGGATGGCCAGACGAAGCTTGAGCCTGTGCAGAGGGTTGCTGATCCCGATTTCCCTCTGAATCTCCGTATCTGACAGGTTAGCCATGATGGCACCACTCTTCACGTTGGCACGGCAGGCTGCCACGTACCACGCAGGCATCCCGACCCACAGCTTGGAAAACAAAGGGTGGATGTTTAAACTCTTTAAGCTTTTATTAGTTCTAAAAGAAAAAAAAAAAAACATATAAACCCCAAATATATACAAGTAGGAAACCATTATTTTTCTTTAGGCAAAAAATGAATAAATAAATATGAATTAAAAAATATGTATGTGTTACATTTTTCAGTGTTTGCCTTTTCGTGTGGTTCAGATGCTTGAAGAATGCAATCTTTTTTTAATTTTTACACATAAAGGTTTGGTAGCAACGTAAATGGCCTGTACTTAAATTGCGCTTTTTTTCAAGTCACATGACTTGACTAAAGTGCTTTACACTACATTCAGTCATTCAAGCATGCACACATTCAAGCACACTGATGGTGGCCAGCTAGATTGTAGCCACAACTGCCCCCGGACATAATGACTAAAAGCCAGAGTTGGGGCTTGAACCGACAACCCTCCGGTTACAACCTCCTTAATTGAAATCGATTTTTTAAAGATTCAAATGTTCAGTATATTCAACTGTAGTGGCTAACTTTGAGCCATTAGCTATATTATGCAGGATGCTTGAAAGTTGTTGGGATAATCTTCATTAATGCATTGGGGCAACTGGAATCTTAGTTCCTGCAGGATTCATTGACGCTGATTAAACAGATTTATGTTGCCCAATATTTCCAATGCTTATTACAGAAAACATATAGATTAGTGAAAATATTAGCTGGTGATCAGAACAACAAGATTTGGAAAGGAAATAGCTAAAAATGTTTTATCTCATTCAATCAGTGAACACACCATATCTAAGAGCTGCAAAATTGTTTTAGTAATATCTCTCTTAAGCATGGACGTTAAGAGTAAAAGTTCTACTCTCAAGAAAATGTTTTTTTCTAAAACATGTTGAGACACAACTGAGATCCATTTAGGCTGTGAGTGAGCAGAACATCACTTTTAGCAGATAACAGGAAAGCTGAGTGAGCACAGCAAAAATGCTTTGTTTTGTTGCCACAAATTTTTACCACAAACATGCTTGATGTAAAACAGTTTCAAGTCTGTTAGAAATTACAGTTAAGCGAAGGATCTACAGTCTAAACACAGAGAGACTCCAACTTTAGTAATCCTAGTCACATTAACACTGCAAATCCCTAATATAAAAATGCTAATATCTATAATTATAACCTTCGTCATATAGTAAAACATGCCTGTGTAAGTTCATTGTCATCTGGGTCTTGGCAAAGATGAAGCAGGCTTAAATCTGAGGTAACGGGACTAGAACTCTAGCATTAGCTGACAAAGACTCTTGGATAGGTGTCAGAAGAGAAACACTCAGCGAAGGCTGCCTGCGCTTTAAGTCAGTTTTGTAATTTAGTAAAAACTTTTTTTTATTATTTTGAGTCTGCTCCTGAGATGATTTATATTTTTTTATTTTAAAAACACTTCTGATATTTTTAAAGCCAATACTCCAAGCTAATACTAAGGAAAATGGAAATCTACAAAAAATGGTCCTGAGAACGAAAAGACTTTATTGGTTTTGCCTTAAATTAGCAGATTTATCTTGAGATTTACTATCGCTGAGATGCCAGTTAGCTCATTTCCCAAACAAGTAAAGTTCTGGAAGAATGAATTACATTAAATCGGAGGACATTTAAAGTAAAGTATGTCAGTACAGTAGCTCGGCAGATCAGGGAGTGATACCTACTTCAAGCCATGTGACAACAGTAGGGCCATCCCATGAGGCAAAAGGAAGACCCTGACGACAAGCTTCTTCTAATAAGTCATGCCTGGCAAAGAAAGTGGAAAACAGAGGTTTAACAGAGATTAATTTCTTCATATCTCACCTTACACATGTCTCTATTTATAAATAACATTAAACATGAGATGTTCACACCACTACAAGGACATTTCCTTTATAGAATCAGTGATACCACAAGCCTGCTTGGTCACACTTGAATGATTAGTATGCGGTACAAATGAGAAGAGTGTGGAAAGATGGTTGGTCTCACTTCTTTTTGCTGCGACGATCTTTCTCTACTGTTCCCGTCCCGAGTTTTGCCAGGCCCAAAGGATCAGCTGAGCCAAGGTCATCAGAAGGAGTGGACGCTATAGAGGAAATAACTGTTCAAGTCCACTGTACTGTATATATTCCTACAGTAATCAAAGGTTACAGTTTCAAGCACCACCAGGATTTTAGAAAGTGAACATTTCAAACCTGGAACCAAAATGCTGATTCTGCAATTGAAAAACTTTTAAATTAAATAACAAATATGGTGCAGTCTACTTTGATTTCCATAGAGCAACCTCCCCAGGAGATATTGGAGAGGGGTTCACACTTGATCCATCATGGTATTTTGTTGACAGTGTCTGATAATAAACTTCAGAGTTTACAATCCTTATTTTTGTATATTATTCATCATAGACAAAACATTACTGATAAAATATACTATTGTTTTCTTGCTGAGCTTTGTCTGAGGCATTGCAACAAAATCTCAACCAATATATATATATGTTGATGCAAATCTGAAAGGCAATAAAGATTATTTAAAGTCTAACCTCAAAAAGCTCTATATTAAGAGCTTTAGGGTACATATCTTCAACATAATCCTCTATCTAGTTATGTCTACTATTTAAAGAGTAGCTCACCACATATTCAACTTTTATTTGCAGATACTCTGTACGAACAGGGTCCCAATGACTGCTATATCTTTACATTTAAGTGTGAGGGTTTTTTTTTATTATTCTGCAGTATTGCTACAAAAACCATCAAAATGGTTGAATACTGACTACTGCAGTCCATACATTTGGGTGTAAACACAACTTACTCAGCACAAGCCATAGTCTTTCTGTCTTAGGTGAAAGTCACTCAGGACATTATGGTAACAGCAGTAGTTCCAAATCACTCTTTGGTCGCTTGCCAAGAAATATGACTAGTAGGCATGTACGATATATCGCAATCATATCGGTGTCGGCCATCGTTTTTAATTTTTAAGCATATTTGTTTCAGTCCGATAAGTAAAACTGGCCTGAAGAAATGTTTATTTTTATAGAGCTGCTGTTTTGGGTCATGGTTTTCATGGTTTTAGAGATATGTATATATTATATATGATATCAGTAGATATTGGTTATATGCCATAATGGCAATGTTAATATCAATATCGGTGCAGATTTTCATTCATTAGTTTTCAGATAGGAGGGATTTTGACATTTGCGCAGCAGTTTGTGACAGACAGACCAGCAAGGATGAAGAGTCTGAAACTTTTACTGTCATTGACTGAAATCACATAATAAAGGAAAGTCAGATACAGCAAAGAAGATGTTTTCCTATGCGTTGAAAGTGGTTGCAGGAAACAGTATGTAACAAACTCTACATTAATTAATGATAAGTTAGTGAAACCCTTTCTAACTGGATAATGTCTTGCAACAACAAATGTTTAAAATTTTTTTAACTATTTTGTCTTGTGTGGTAGGCCCTTTTATTTAATGATTCACAATATTTTTTTTAGATAAGGGACGCGAGAGTGTGATTTGCAATCACTGCCGTCTCTGTGTTTTGGTTTTTATGACATAATCCATCTGTCATTGTTGTCTATCATTTCCCCTGTGTCTAGCCCATACTGCACCCGCTAAGGGTATCATTAGGTCAGCACCTTGAAGCAAACAGCTTAAGCTGAAAAGCTTGTGACCCACTGGGCTCCACAATGCTTCCATCAACCTCTGACATTGAGGGGGAGGAAAACTCCTTCACCTAAAAAGACCTGTTAGTAGCTTTAAAACCAGGGTCCCTCTGCTCACTCTCCACGCTTTGACTGACCACTCTCGTGGCATTTATCAAAATGTGTCGTTAGGCGGGTTTATGGGGGCTAGTTACACTTAAAAACAAATCCAAAAAAATATATTAGTCACAAAAATGTGTCTAATTAGTATTAAGTAAATGTCACTGAAAACATTTTGAAGATAAAGAGGAGCTTGTCTCCACCTGGATACTTTTCAGTTATATTTTTGTTTTGTATAACTTTCACTTTTTCAGTATATCTATAACAGCGGTTAAAAAGACAGTTGGGTGTTTGAGAAGCTTTTCTATTGTCCACAGACCCAATGATGCAGATTCTCGCCCAGGTGTGCCAATTCTTCCCTTTTCCTTTTTGCCAAACAGGCGCCCAATGGAGGACTTAATGCTTTTCTTTTTGCTGGTTTTGTGAAGGGAATCCTGGCTTGCAGTGGTGGCACCATCTGCGGAAAGACTGAACAAAATGAAAAGAACAAAAGAGAGGTTAAATTAATGATAATAAATGCCGGAGAGTCTTGCCCACATGGTCTCATTTTTTGCACCTGCGGAATTCGCGGTGGTCGTCGAGGCCTGCTCCAGGGTGAGTGTGAGTCATTCTGTCCAATCGCAGGGCTCGAGGGACGGGCGGAGGGGTCGAGTCGATGAGGGCAAGTGCTCTGCATTCTTCACCCTCTTTGCTATTCTGCATATTAAGATATCTTTTAGACTTACATAGATTCCCTCAGTTTGATACCAGAGTTCAGCCTCTGCTTTAGCTGGAAGTCAGTACCTGTCTTTCAGTCTCTCTGGCAGGGGAGTGAGGGAGGCGGGGGGTGGAATGACCAGAACTGGGAGGTGAAGGAGATGCCAACGTTGAGGATGTCAGTGAGGGGGTCATATATCCTCTTCCCATGCTGTCCCTTCCTCCCAGTGAGGATGGAGGAAGCGGTGAGGCATCAAGAGCCACGCTGCTGACCCGACTCTCAATCTCCTCTGCCCTCAGCTCCGTGCTTTCCTTCTCCTCCTGAATAAGCCTTGGACAAAAGAAGTGACAAACTCCTGAAACACTGAGTGTTTGGGGCTCCAAATACATTCTGGGTTTCACGAAAGTCCCTTTATAGACAGTATAATGTACTTTTTTTTAAACAAAAGTAAACTGACTATATAAACACAGACAATGATTTTCCACTTAAGGAAATCATAAAATATACATTATTTAACAGTAGAGAAAAAAAACATCTAATTTCACCCTGATTAAAATTACAGGAGGCACAGGAATAAAGCTTGAATCCAGCCTGACTTTTTACAGATTTCGACTCAAATTCTCAAGCAATGAATAGAAATTGAGTTCCAAGGGTTTTGGTCTCATGTGTTTATATATTTTTTCCCAATATTAGTGGTTAGGCATTCGTTTTGCTGAAAAAAAAAAAAAAAAAACATCCTACAAACCTAAAAATCTGAGTTAAAAACATGAACCAGCCCTTAAGGTTTCAGTACCAACACGGCATTAAAAAGATCACTTAAGAATGCATCAAAGCAAGGAATCTTATTAAAAACATAAAAAAATAAACCAACCTAATTACCATTACTGATGTCACAATATTTATTTAAACATGTAAGCTTGTTTTAGGCAGAATATATTATATCCTGATTAAACAATAATTTACTTTAAAATAGAAAAAATATATATAATATACTGTTTTCTAAAATATTAACTCTATGCAGTTTATTTTAGTGATTTTACAGAAAGGTCTTGCTAGTATTTTGCAAGTCAGATGCTTACTTGATCTCCTTATTTATGGCCTCCAGCTGCTCCTGTAGCATTATGGCCAAAGTCTGGACATCCGTCTGTCCGCTAGGAGAGAGCAGCTCAGATCCAAACAAAGTCTCTCTGTCCTCTTCATCATCAGAGCAGGCACCTTCAACACCACCCTCAAACCCGGGAGGCAACATGTTGCCACTGTCCCACTCTCCATACTAATAACAAACAAAAAGAGTTTTTCTCATAACAAATTGTGACTATGTCTTTATAAAAAGCTCCACTGTATGAGCATGAGATGATCACCTTGCCACCATCGTCCCTGGCAGGCCCCCAGCGGCCGCGATGGGCCCGCCTGACCACCACACCGCTGGAGGAGCTGCTGTAGCCGGAAGGGAGTGAGCCCCCACCCTGAGGGTACCGCAGCTCCGAGGCACTCCCTGGAAGAGATCTTCGAAAAAGGGTGGAGGGAAGTGAGCTCACGCTGCCCGCCCTATGATGAGATCCAGAATTCATTTGTTATGCAACACTTATTGAAATGACAACATGACTTTGATTTACAGGAAGATTACATAAAGTGAATGCAACGTAATATACAGTCCATCGGTTTACATCCAGTCATCATGGAAATAAAAATAATACAGATGGATTTTTTTTGGCAAAAGACTAAAACTACCTATTGCAAAAGTTTTTGAATGGCAGAGGAGAAAAAGTGTTACACCTCAAACTCAGAAAATATTGTTGGCTTTCTGTGTAGGGTAACCTGGTAAAGCTTGGCTTGGTTTAATTTCATTTTTCAGTTTCATTTTTCTGATTTTACAGATTCAGATATTTCAACTCGTCTTTGCATCAAAACCAATGTTTAATTCAAGATTCTCAGCAAGCTGCACCAAACTTTGGCCCTTTTTGTAGCCATGAGTAAGCTTCGGATCAGGGTTTGGTTGGATATTTGACCACTAGTCTTGATGGAGGCAGAACATTTTTATTAAAATGATTGGTTTCCTGCAAATCCTAGTTCCTAGCTGTATTACAGCGATCAGTTATTTAACCATCTAAGAAAATAGATCAGCCTTAATAAAAAAATGTTTAAGAACAAAACCTTGTAGCATTACGGATTGAGTTTGTTCATATCCTCGAAACTACAGTTCATCTAGTGTTTTTGGTCAAAGTGAAGCTGTTTTTTTTAGGAACCTGGACTCCGATGGTGTCGAGAAAGAAAAAAGCTCCTACTCTTAAATTTATACTTTCTCAAACAAGTACCTCCTGGCAAAGGGCTTTAAGGTTGGACAACCCTAAGATCGAGCTGTTTGGCCTCGAGGACAAAAAGTAATTATGGGAAAGTTCTAGCAATACTTTGAAAACTAAGAAGACTACAGACCAACATGGTGCTTGAAGAGAAATAGGGACAGAGAAGCTAAGAGTTTGGGAGTTTTAGAGAAGTTTTAACCATTCAACAGATAGTAGAAATAATCCCAAATAGGTTGGAATAGATTACAGAGACTAGCGTTACACTTCTTGAATGGCCCAGACCTCACTCCTAATGTCAATTTACAGACAGCACAGAATGTATCTGAAAACCAACTATTTTAAATGATGTGTGGTCAAGCATCCAAGGGTTCGCTTGTCAACAGAAAGCCCGTCATTTCTTTATTACTTGCAAAATTTAAATGTTACTAAATATAAGTGAATCATAATTTTTAGAACCATTCCAACTTGAACAAAGAATTGTTGGAAAACAAGCATAGAGTTAATATGAAATTTATGTTAATGATACGTGCCTATAATTATCTAACCAAAGAAACCTAAACCTCTAAATAAAGTATTTTTAATTGCGGAATATCTCGCCAGATCAGTGCTTTTCTAGGTACAGCATGAAAGATATTATTAAAGAACTGAAAGTTTATTTATACAGCACGATTTAGTACCAGGAGAGTTTAAAGTTATTTTCATGAAAGCACTAAAGTCTTAGTGAAGAAAGGTAGCAGATATTATGGTTGGGGGTGATATATTTCTCATCAAATGTATTATTTTAGTCAGTTACTCTCAAAAAAACCTTCAGTTAAATGTCCATGGTGGCTAACCTGGAATAAGAGGAACCAGGTCTGCCTCTTAGCTGATCCAGCTCCAGTTGAACTCGTTCAAGCTCAGCAAGGAGTTGATCCTAAGGGAAAGAATGTGGGATAATAATGAACTTTTTTTTACATGCATTTTACAGTTTGCATACTGTATGTGCCAAAAAAAAAATAGAGGATCTCGTTAGCGCACCTTGTTAGCAAGAAGATCATCTTGAATTTTTTTCATGTTGGCCAGTTCCTCAGAAAGAGCATTCTGAAGGTACAAGCAAGGACAGAATTGTTCTTCTAATTGTTCCATTTATTAAAATAATTTGTACCTCAACAGATTTCCTCTCACCTTCTCTTCCAGTGCAGCCATTCTTTCTTTGAGGTGGAGCTGAAGCCTCTCATTGGACTCGGACAAAAGCTTATCCACCGTATCTGAGAGGCGCTTGTTGTGTTCGTCGTTCATCTTCTCCCGTTGTCTCGCCTAAAATCAAGTTATAAGAGAAGTTGTCATTACAAGAAAAAAATTTTTAAATAGATGAGACAGAAGAAAAAAGACAAACTATGTCACCCTTTGTAATTCTTGATTTTTCTCCTCAAGTTGGGCCTCCATTTGCCGTAGTCTCTCCTCAAAGTTTCCATGCCGCTCTTCTGCCTGAAAACAAGTCATATTTCTAAAGTATTGCAGTATTATATTGCGAGCAGACAGAAACAAATACCTTTATAGTATCCATCATCAGACCCTTAAATTTTGGTTTAAGTATCTTGTACCTTTGTATTAAATAAAAAAAAAATAATTGTCCCTGAGGAATAACAGTGAGAGAATTACAGTAGATTTGAGCTTGAGTTTGCTATGATTATGTAACGACTTTTCAAATACTGATTAAATTTTAATTTGAATCTAGTTCTGGACTTTGAGCCATTCCGACACAACAATAGTACAAGCGTTCAATTGTGACTCTCGCTCTAGTATTGTGTTGTCCTGCTTGCAGGTAAACTTTCATCCCGATCTCTAGTCGTTTGCTTCTTCTGATTGGTTTTCTTCCCAGGTTGCCCTGGAAAGAAGATAATCTGTCTTCCTTTCCTCTTCAACCCACTTTCTTGTGGCCACTGAAATAAAGATATCAGCACAGCATGATAGTCCCACCACCAAGATTCACTGTGCTGATGGTATGGTGTCAGTTTTATGCTGCACATAGTCTTTTGCATAAAGTCTGAGACGTTATCTTTCTCTCTTATCTAACCTGGGCACCTTCTTCCATATATTTTCTGTGTTACTTTTGGAAAAACTGCAATCAGAGACTTTAATGTCTTTCTGACGCCAAAAGATTTCTTCTTGCCACACTTCAGTAAAGGTCAAACTTTACAGAAGAGGAGTGCATGATGATGGAGATTAAAGATTTATTCATGTCTCCCTTTGTTCTGTACAGTAAAGAGCCGCCAAAAAATCACAAAAACTTCCATGTGTAGATGATGGGTTGAAGAGAGTTTGGTGAGATTTTAAACGGCTGCAGTTTGTGGTAAAAAAATGGCCCCACATGCATAGATTACCTTATTGAGAGCTGCAACTCTCTGAGCAAGCTGTGCCTCGATTTCAGGCAGTGTTTCTGCCCTCTGCAGGGTCTGCTGGAGCTTCTGCTTGGCCTCATCCAGACGCTCCTGCAGCTGCCTGTTCTTCTCTTCACTCTAGCCCCAGAAAAGAAAACTCAAACTTATGAGCTCTTCACCAGGAAAATACCCATAGAGATCAATTTTAACATCAGTTATAAAACAAAGTCCCAATGAGATATATATATATATTTTTTTTACCACTTTTCTATGTCAGGGTATTAGAGAAAAATTTACTTGTCTGTAAAGGGAGTCCTTGCTGGCCAGCTCATTCTCCAGCTTGTCTTTGATGTCATGGAGAGAGGTCGCCTCCCTCTGGGCACTAAGATACCTGCAGGCAACACAAACAAATGTGTACTGGAGGAGGAGAAGCTGGGATGTTCAGTTTATAACATATTTTAACGCATAAACTACAATAAGTCTGCTAAAAAATACATTTACAACCAAAAGCAACTGAAAGGTACGGGAACGGGAGTGTTTTTTTTTTATTATTTAAGGTACAAATACTATAAAGTATGTCTAGTTAGCACAGTAGATGTTTTCACGTTCTGTAATGTGACCTCATATAGAAAATTAAATTATGAATAATAAAGTCTTCTCAAATATATTATAAACTCAGCTCTAATGCAGACATTATCAGCTATATTCAAGCACTACAACAAACTGGAGCAATGCTAATATAAAGGACATACTAGTGTTATTATAACTCCCCATACTGTTTAAATATGATCAAATATGGAGCAAGAACTGCAAAAGTGTGCACACTCTACTATGCTGGAACAATTTTTGATTCACTCTTCTTAAGGAGCTCAAATACAAAAAAACAAAAAAATCAAAAATAATAAATAATAATAATAGTAATTTGCACTTTTTTTACATTAAATAAGATGCTTATGTGAAATAAACTGCACATTTCTCCAAAAGTTGGCAATTAATCTGAGGCTATTGAGAAACTATCAATAAGCCTGAAGGAGCAGCAGGTATTTCTGATAAGTGTTGGTTCCTCATGGGTCCAAAGTGGTAATTAGGGTTTTATGACAAAACTGTCTTCTTGTGAAGAAAAATGATGCCATCCTCAGTGATTTTTTTTTTTTTTTTTAGATTAAAATGTTTTTTAAAGTAAAAACAGATGATACTGTTATGAAATTTGAATATGCCTATTTTACTTAACAACCTTTGTTTCTGATAGAGAGCCTATAATTTACAGGGATTGTTCCATTTACTTGTATTTATTACATAATTCAGTTAGTAAAATTTATATCTAGATCAACAAAAGTACAGTTTCACCGAGAAGAATATTAAGATCTTAAAATAGCCTAGGATTGTCAAGATCTGCCCTTAAAACCTTAATTGTTAACTTCATTCACCTGCCTAACTCTGCCTGGTTCCTAATCATTCTTCATCTTATTCACCTGTGTCTTTTCATTAATATTCGACTCAGTCCAGCTATCAGGGCCAGATCATTGTTTGTTGTTTGTTTGTTTTCTTTGGTTTTAGTAATTTCAAGGTTCATGTCTCCATCCCCGGAGGCCAGTGGGTTAAGACGTTTTTAGTTTTTGTCTTGTCTCCTGATCGTGTCCTGGCTCCTTGGTGGAGTAAACGTTTAGGTCCCTAAGCCAGGTTTCTAGGTGGAGACCAGTTTAAAGTTTCTACTGTTATCCTGGAACAATGTCTTGTCTCTGTCCCTCAACCACTGAGCCTGCCTGTCTGCATCTGTGCGTTTCTGTCTGAGGTCGTTGATCGGTGCATGGAACCTGCCTGAACGCTGTATGGATTCCCTGACTGAGCCCTGACTGGGCTGCGGACTCCTGGATTCAGGAACTGTTCCTGTCTGATCTGTTTCCCTGACCTAGATCGGTTTGATGCCTGCTCACTGAGGTTGGTGCTTCGGGGACACTCTGCACAGCAGCTCGTTTGGCAGTCGATCTGCTGGATCCTGCCTTCCTCAGAGAGGATGGACTGCACTTTTAAACAGAGTGTCAGTGATTGGGCCGCGTCCTGCCCCCCCTGCAGCCGCTGCGGTACGCAGATCCACAGCTCTGCGCTTCTGCTTCAGTTATGTTTTTGTGTTAATAAACGTTTTGAACTTTCCCAGTGACTGTCTCACCTTGAAAACTGGGTCAATCTGTCCAGTTTATGACAAGCATGGGTTAAGACCTACATCAGAGGAGTGGCCTTTTGAATTTGCATTTTTTACTTTTGAAATGCAATGTATATAGATGTCTGCTTCATAAAATTAAATGGTCCAGATGATTTCTTACAACAGATCAAAAAAGATCAAAGATTACCTTCGCTCTAGTGTTGTTATTCTCTCTTCCATGTCTTCTCTTTGGCAAAGAGCCTATAAAAGGCAACAGTTCCAGTTATTTTAAGAAACCACATGTGTTATTTTGCAGTAAAAAAAAATATAATTTATAAAAAAAGAAAAAAGTATGCATTTTGATCTGCGAAGGCAGCCTTTTTAAATGCTGCAGTGTCACCATTCCTTCTTGCCTTTGCATTTATTAGAGCCCTAAAATAGCAGCAATCTAAAAGAAGATGTCATTTTTGAAACAGCTCTTTATTTTCTACTCATCCAACCCCAGACTAACATATTTTATTATTAGCACTTATCCCCACAGAGTTTGAATCTACCCCCCAAAACCCCAGGTACTGAGATAGCTTAGGGTCTTGGCAAGGAAGAGACAGATTGGTCCAACAAACCTCTTTCACTTCCCTTTGGAGTTTCTGATTGGCCTCCTCAGTCTTCGTCACCTCCCTCCTGGCGGCTGCAAGCTGTTCCTCTATTTCTCCAACCTAATGTGAAACAGAGAGACAAAAAAAAAAAAAACACACAAATTAAACCTGCAGACTACACTTATTTCTGTCCCAGTATTAGTTTTTCAAACTGAAGGAATAATGCATGAGTCCCTTTCTTTACCTCATGAAAAGGTTTATTTTTTGTACTACACTAGTTACAGCATATCAATCAGAATTTGTTGCTAAACAAAGATTGTCATTGATCAGGTTAAAATGCTTCTTTGGCTGTTTTTCAATAATGTTGGTGCTCTTTGATGTAGTTGCAATAGTGTAATTTGCCACTAGAGGGAGGGTATGTTTTCTGTTTTGGGAAAATCTGTATTTTCTACTTGAAAAGTTTTCCACAAAGTTAGAAAAAGACCCAAGTTTACCTTACCAAAACAGAGAGGAATATTGTGATGGAGGAAAAAAGTCCATATCTTACTGTTACTGTAGTGCACCGTATTAATTATTGAGAGATCATGTTACTGCAATAAAAAACCTAATCAGAATTGTTTTTATACATCTTTAATAACTGACGAGGCTGATATATGTAGACATTTCAACATTTGGATGCAGTTATAAGATTAGTAATCATTTCTGTTAATCTAATCTGATTCTGTACTGTGTTACATAAACCATTTTCTGCTCATAAACTTTAACCAGTGCTGCTGTCCATGGCATCATGAAACACAACTCTGTTTGAGTGCTAAATTTGAATGACCTGCTGGAGTCCAAAAGTCTTAGAAGCTACTTTTAAGTCCTCTCCAGACAGATGTTAGAGAATTTGCTTCTTGATTTATGTTCTTAAATTTCTTTGGATGACATGAAGTGTTGCTTTTTATGATCTTTTAGCCTACTTCAAGTTGTCAGATAAGTTCTATTAGAGGGATTTCCTGAATCAACTGGGCAGACAGCAATCAGGAAGGTGTGACTAGAAAGTCTGAATTCAGCTTACCCCAAAGATTACTTCTTAATAGCATTTCCCTATTTTTTGTTTATATTTAAAACGCCTTTGCTTTGAACGGAGTGGAACCTAGGGCAGATTTCACTTGATTTTCAGTTAAAACCATGTGACCTCTTACAACATAGATGAAAATCCATCTTTGTTTGAAAGAAAATCTGAGGGCCACCATGATATATGCAAAGGATCAGTCACCTGCCGACACATGAGGGCCAGCCTCTCCCTCAGCTGGGACAGTTCAGCTTTTTGACGCTCTATCTCTCCTTCTCTCTGCCTTTCAAGCTCCCCATCCTCCAGCCCAGACGAGGGACCGTTGGGGAGCCGCTAAATAGAGAGGATGATACGGCATAAAACAAGAGCAATAATTAATAATAGAAAACAATTAATCATGATCCTTCTTTAAATTTCTTAGGGGTGGAGAATCACACTGAAACACGGTGGTACCCAAGATCTACTTAACTAACACATACACAAAAACAACTTGAACCAACAAGCAGAAAACCCTCCCTTACATCTTTACCGCCGTCCACCCCTTGTTGACGCCTTTTAATTTGGTCTCTTAAAGAGATTACCTAAAAGAAGGAGACAAAAAGTCCAAACACATGGTTCATGCCAATATCTTCATCATGCTAGAGCAGTTAAAAATGTTTGGATGCAAGGATTATTTTAATTTTGAGCATGCCTCTTGAGAAGATGCTGAGAGTTGATCTTCTAACATGGACACCCTCTCGAGGGCCACACGGAGCCGCTCTCGAACCTGATGAGTAAAAGCAAACGATGATTGAGGTAAGACAACCACTTTGGTATTAAATGTGCCAAAACAGATCAATGGTCAGCAGAGAGGGCATGACTATGGTTAAAACTGGTTAAACTACACAATAAACTAAAATATATCCTTGAAATAAAGCACTTTCATGCTTTGGGTGGAGAAGGAACTTTCAAGAAATGTGGAGAATATAAGAAAATAACAAAACACACATTTATGCCAAAGGGTTTCTAGATTTCCCGGAACTTGAGAACAATTAAGGTAGATTCAAGCTATTAAAGTGACTTTTTTAAGTTGCCTGAACAGAAACAGGAAAATACAAGTCTTACCAGATGCAAAATATTGACTATTTATAGTATTTCCTATTCTATAATGAACAAATAACAATACTAATACAGATATTTGATTATAGAGCCTCTATAACCGGTAGATTAAGATAGGCTTTGAATGAACAACTAATTTGTTCACCCTTGGGAGGGACGCTCATCTGCACACTATTCATATATATAATGTTTCTTACAATAAACGCAGAGTGTGATAATGTGGTTTTCATACCATATAATCTAATCTCATGGTTTGAACTGTTTACAATCATTATATTGTAAACAATTTCTCTCTATTGGCCAAAGAAAGCATTTTAAGAAATATTTATTAACATCTATCTTACCCATGGCAACATATCTACTCTTATCTTAGCAAAAATTTTCAGTGTGGAAGTAAAATATGCTTTTTAACGACCATGTTCTTTTGACGGTCTTGTTTTGAAGAGAGCGAGGGGTAATATACTGTATGTCTCTGACATATCATTTATATTACAGGTACACAGAAAATCATCAAACACCTATTTAAAGTTCCTTAAAGCTACAGTGTGTAATAATTATAGGGATATACAGTCAGAAATGTAATATATTATACATAACTATGTTATTTTATCATCATCTATGAGCTCAGCCTCTTAACCTTAATATTTGCGTTGCCTTAGAATTCGTTATTTATAATTACATTGGAGCTGGTCTCGCAGCCATGGAGGCAGACATCTTTGCGCTACGGCAGCGCAGAGCCAACAAACTAGAGATTGCGAGATCGCCAAAATGTCACAACGATGTAGAAAAAATAACGGGTATATTTATTATCTTAAGTCTACATGAAATCTATACCCTACACAGACTAATGAAATACTATCTGTAAAATTATCTATGTAAACAAACCTCATCACTTGAGAAGGTAGGTCATGCGGATGTCGTGGAAGACATTTTGTCCCGTAACGCTCGCCGTACTGTTGGGGGGGAGAAGCGGTGCGGGGGAGATGTTCATGTTGCTGCAGTCTGCAGTCTGACCGCTAGATGTCGCTAAAAGTTACACACTGTAGCTTTAACTTTCAGATCAACATAGAAATGAAAGCAGAATTTGTTTTTCAAACATTTATCTAAACAGGTGGCCTCTCTTAAAAAAGTCCAACTTTTTTTTGTGTGCTCTGTTTTGCCAACTGGCTCATGTAATAGATGTCCCTGAGATAGATCATAGTCTAGTAGCTTTGCTTTCACAAGAAAACCATTATGACTATCGCCATAAGGTTCCTCTTGATAGTTATGTATGAAACTTTATTGAAAATGATTTAGGAAGTAAAATCGAATACTATGGGCTCGAGATGGAAAAGTAGATGAAAGAAAGAGGATATAAGAACTAAGGGGAAAGTACTATTTGTTTTCACGTTTCTTTAAATTAAACATATTTCTATATTTTTTCGTTTTGTTTCACATTCATGCTTTGGTCTTTGGCTATATTCTTTCCAACTTTTGCTAACTTGTTACAGACTATTAGATGATGCTTTATTTTAGGTCAGGCAGCACACGGTCCTTTGGTGCATTTTCCACACTAACTTTAATGAGAGCAGGAAGGAAAGTAGGGTAAGCCTGGATGATTTGCTGGAAGTTGGTATAATATCAAATACATTTCAGTGCTGCGTTGACCCACCTTCTCGTCCAAGGCTTTGTGGTGCTCAAACAGGGATTTTAAAGCCTTGAGGACTTCCACCTCACTGGACACCCCTGCAGGGGACTGGGCTTGCCTCTTCACCACTGTCATCCTCAGACTGCGCTCGTGGCGGGACACCAGACACTCCAGGTGCTCAAGCAATAGCTGCAGGGAGGAGCATATAGCAAAGGAGGAAAGATGAAAAGTGACAACCAGGAAATGTTGCAAGAATATCAGGAGGTATAGTGCTTTGCAAAAGTGTTTATTCTAAAAACCAAATTAACATATTACAACAGTATTTTTTAGTAGTTTACATTTGTGTGATTCTGTGATTAGATAGTATGTCTTACAAAGGTTTTTACCCAATACTTTTTTGCCATGCCTTAATTCTGTTTAGCCCCCTTAATATGATACTCCTAAATAAAATCCAGGTTGTGTTAGGTACATTCTGACCACTTGTGCATAGATCTATTCTCAGTTAAAATATTACTGATCTGTTTCTGACCTCAGATGTTTGCTTATGGACACTTGAGAACAAAAACAAAATCAGAAGACCAAGAAACCTAGCAGACACATCAGTAAGAAATTTGTAGAGAGCTTTAGAGCATGGTTTGGATTAAAAACTATTTTCTAAGCTTTGAACATCTCACAAAGCTCTGTTAAATCCATCATATTAAAGGTCATAGCTACAAATTTTTAATCAAAACTACTACTTTTTCAAAAGCAATGTGTCTGCAAAATGTCTACAGTGGTGCTGAATAAAACTATTAATTGTACCGGGGAAAAAAAACCTTTTATACATTTCAAAAGGTTCGAAAAATGAATATCTAATAAAATATCTAATACAAAGTTCCAAATGGTTAAAATGAAGAGAAGCACACAACTTATTGACTGGAGGGAAATAAACTTGGTGCCATTTACTTTAAAATAAGAGTTTGGCACCAATGTAAACCCACAAAGACATGATTGTCCATCTAAAATAAAACTCAAGGCAAAGGGAGAAGCCAAGAGATCCTCCTATTATGTGGAAAAACTACAGCATTGAAAAGCAAATTAAAAGTTGTGCACAACAAAGTTCTGGTTGAAGTTTGACATATTCCATTTATAGGCCAGAAAATATGTGGATAAAGTGTTCAGGTCAGAGAGGATTAAAGCTAAAGTATTCGGACATTTTGCAAATCCCCAAACTGAGAGGAAAATATAGTTGATCAGTTCATATCAATGCAGAGATTTATCTTCTAACAGTTAACTAACCAATGTGAAATACAATTTTTTGATTTGCTTTTGTATGTTCGTTGTTATTCTTTTCACTTAAAACATTTAGTTTTTTTGGTTTTTCCTGAAGCCTGATTTTACTTTTCTAAGTTGGGTATTGCCACATTCTGTTATTCGGCCATTTGGAGAATTTGCCCGTATCAGTTTTGGTTCGTTCATCTTTCTTTTAGTTGTTTTCTAGTCTAGTCTAGTTCTCTGGCCTAATTCTTTTTTTGTGTTGGTTGGCCATCTGGTTTTAGCTTGTGTTGGTCTATTGCATATAATCCCAATGGAATACATTCACATTTGTGGTTGTAATGTCAGAAAATGTGAACAGTTTATGGGCTATGAAGAAACAAAAATAAAACATTACAGACTCAGAGGTTGTGAATGGACTAAGGAAAAGATAATTAGAAAACAGAAGCAAATGAAAACGTCCACACAACCACCATGGAGTGAAAGGGAGAAGTCAGAGGCTGCTACAGTGCTAATGGGCAAAATGGCCGCTAAACATCTTACACGTGTGTTGTTTCTCTCCGCCTTGAGCTCAGCAATTTCCTCCTCCCTTTCAAGAAGCTGCTCCCGGCAAACGTTCAGCTCCTTAGTCAACACGGCAAACTCCTGTGAAACACACACACAGATACACACACACACAGACGGCTCTCAGAAGCACAAAAACAAACAGTCTGGATGTATGTTTGTAATACTCTCAAAGTGACTAGGCTACAATTAGACTATAAAAAATACATAGCAAGGTATAAAAAGATATGGATTTCTGCAAAGCAAACATAATTGGCTGCTTCAAGGATCCACGCACAGCAACTGCACAAAGAAATCTAAAAATATACATAAGCAAAGAATTTTAGAAACACGCTTTGTGAAACACCAGAGACTAAAGATGTAGGAGGATGTACATGATGTAAACCTACATAACAATCAGGTGAATCACTGACACAGATTCTGCCACTGCTTTCTCTCTTGCTTATCCTCCCCTGTGAACTCTTATTCATGGACAGATTACATCACACTGTTACACAATGGGTCTGCAGCGAAATGCTCAAAAGAGACCCCCAAAGCAAAGCATCAAACTGCATTTATAACACCACAGGGAATACATCTGCATCTCCTGAATGCAACAGGAAGGCCTGTCCTGCATGATCTTTGAATCCCCCGTACCATCTGTGGTCCTTTATTATTTTACAGTAGGTCTCTGTAAAACACGTCTAAGGTTGCAGCTTAGGGGCAGAGGCTGCTCATAATGAGGTGTCTTCTGTTTCAGGTGTGAACTACAATCTGATTTATGGTTGAAAACAGAGCAGATAAATCTAACCCATTCGTGCTTAAAAGCGCGTAACAGAGTATGAGAGATACATACAGATGGTAACACAGTGGGTTCATTGGCTACTGGCCTTATGCGATTGTTTCTTGTTTGGAAAGGGGTCAGCCTCTCATTTGTCTCCTTGTCTTTTCCTTTATATCTGATCTTAATTTGTCTTTGCATATTTTTATATTCATTTCAAAACATTTGATGTGCTGCTCCACAATGCATATTAATATAGTATTTCATGCTTATGCATTAGGCTGATTTATGCATCAAATTACAAGATATAACAAGGCAGTTAATATCAGAGTTAATAATAAGCTATATGGATGGAGACAACTTGTCAGGTTCTGTCAGAGGTGACAGTGAAGAAATACAGTGGAGACACAGAGGTAAGAGCAGTAGGTAGGTACCGGATTTGAGCATACACTAAATAGAATAGAATAGAATTGATTAAAATAGAATTAAATAGAATTGAGTAGGACACTACTCATCATAAGACAGAGCTGACCTTCCTACTGAGCTTATTCTCAGCTGCAGAAAGCTGCAGCTCCAACATACCAAACCATGAAAAAAAAAAATTTAATTTCTGTGTGGCTGAAATGAACTCAAAATATACTTCTTCTGATTTAAGTCAACTGATACAACCAAAAGTAATTTCAATGCTTAACAAAGGGGGCATGTTTTTTTTTTTTTAGAGATATTTCTATTCTTTCAAATTTTATAACACATATTTCCATTTGCAGATCTTTTCTGCACTCTGGTGGAAATAAAAAATGAAATATTCGTTATAAAAAAATATGAAGGCCTAATATATTGGAATTTTAATTTGGCTGGTGCTTTGAGCAGAACTTGCTGTCCAACAGACATTCTGTTTGTAGCTTATTAAATTACATAAGGGGTCTTTAAACACCAGGATATTCTGAGGGATTCAGTTAGATAGAATGGGGAATGACAAGAAATCCCACCTTCTTTGGCTTGATTACATTTCTCCCTGCCCTTTTGAAATCATTTAAAACTCCACAGACAACATAGGGCCGGATCTATCAAAGGTTTGCGTGTATTAAAACGTGAGCTATTTCACTGCGCACGCTAAAAAATTTACAAACTGATCTATCAACAGCGTGCTAAAAGGATTTGGTCTTTAAAACGTGCTAAATAGCGCCTCTTATCCATTTAGTACTTTTTCTGCAATGAATATGCAATATGGGGCGTTTACACGCAAAAGTGCGTCTTGTGGGAGGAGAACATGTAAATATATTAATTTAGCACTCACAAAGTGATTTATTAAACCTGAAAGCAATTTTGCTAACGGTATCTGACTCTATATTTACCGGTAACACGTTTCAAAAGAAGGTGCAAATGGTCTGTATGCGTAATTGCGCACACATGGCAGCGGTTATTGTCGCAAGAAGGAGACATCGAAATGAAGCAAGGAGACGCAGAGAACGCATTTTTTCACTCCGTGTGAATATTTTTGCAATGAAGGAGGAAACGATCATCAAAACATATCGTTTATCCAGCATTGCCATTTTGGAGCTGTTGGGGGAACTCCGAATGGATTTGGAGCCAGCCACAAGGAGGACCCACGCAATACCAGATATCACAAAACTCCTTGCAACGTTGCACTTTTTTGCATCTGGGTCATTCCAGCTAACGGTTGCAGCGAGAGCTGGGATCTCCCAATCTCGTTTTTCAGAAGTGCTGTCCGACGGGGTCGGGGTTCTCCCCCTGCGCCTGTGGAGCAACGTGCCAATGCTGCGGGGATGCGTTCGCGCAGTAATCTCATCCACAGTCACTTCTTGTGAGCCATTTGGTATATGCATTTTTCTACAGGCCAATACAAAACACCTGTTGTTTTTGTTTTGTTTTTTTACTGCAGTGAAGTAGAAATTCAGCCCCATACCACCTTAGGGATTGTACAAACTACAAACTACTTTGCCGCAAACCACAAAACGCGCAAAACCATCATTTAAATAGGGCGTCTCCAACAGTTTTGCACCTGCCACCAGTTGCGCAATCACTCTTGTTAAATCGCCCGCAAACCATGGTTCAGCCCCTCGCTCAAAATTCCAGTTTGCGAGCGCAAATTACTGCACACAAAATTGGATCTTGATAAATCCGGCCCATACAGTATAAAATAGAGTTACAAAAGATGCACGCTTGGAGACCAAATCCCAGGAAATTTCCCAGAATGAGGAGTGGGCAAAGCAAAAATCTATCCTGCATCAGCTAAACGGTCTGTGCCAAATCTCCAAGAACAGAACAGAACAGAAAAATGTTTATTCTGTAAATGCAGCCCTGATTTGAAAATGTGCAGCTTGATCCTGACACATCTCCAAGCAGAACACTTTCCGTGTGGGTTGTCTGACAGCTATATGCACTAATACTGCAGTAGGGGAGAATCATGACGACTTCTTTAAAGATTTGTACTTCAGTTCTTGTGATCTAATGTTTTCTATGAACAGAACATTGGTTTGATGTCCCCCTGGGCATAATAATAACTAAACTTTATTGATCTCGTATTGGAGAAATTTAGACATAGACAGACATTGAACAAAGTTTTGAACCCTTTTTTTCTCTCAATTATGTTATGTTAAAATATGTTAATCAGAGAAACACAAATTCCCTCTCTGGTTTGCACCCCCACTTTGGTTTTCTGATTAGTGTATTTGCATTACCACAATACGTAAACAACACCAGGTTTCATTTGCAAGCAAACTGAAATAAGAGATTGCTCGTTTGGGCTGTATGATGGTTAGAATATGGTTCCATACCTGTCCAAATGAAGCAGATGTCAAAGGAACAATCTCGGGTTTGTTTGAAGCAGACCTTAACAGCGAAGTGTGAAAGCCCCTTAGTTTACAAAAAATTTCCATGTTTTTGGCAACAGGAAGCATCTCTAAACAATTAGGTTTTTCTCTTGCAAGTTAGGAAAAATTGGAATAACATTATTTCAGCCTGCTGACCAGCAGTGTGTAACAACAGCACCCAGGTGGGCATGTCTTTTATGCCTCATGAAGCCAAAGAAATCCCTTTATTTGTCCATTGAACTAAAGAACTTTCAGCTTTCTGTTTACATTTTAAGCCATGGTACCGGTGGCCACTGCAAGCCCAGTCACCCACTGGAGAAAAACAAGTGACAAACTTTACTTAATCAAATCTAAACCGTCTTCCAAACTCATGAATCATTTTTCGGTCTTGCAAATGTTTAATTAGTACTGCGCCTGGAATTATTCTCAAAAAAACAAAACAGATAAAAATTCTACAAATTCAACACATTTTCTCACCCATCTGTTGTACACCTTCTGAGCCTTACCTGTGGCAAAGCTATTGACAGCTGCCTCTGAAGTGACTCTTTCTCATGGCCGAGCTCCCGGAGGCGAAGTTGTGCTGTGCCCAGGCTTTCCTGCGTCTCCCTCAGGTTCTCCAGCAGCCTCTCCCTCTCCGTCAGCATGTTTACCATCAGAGACTCCAGGTTTCCCGTGCTGCCTCCTTCGTCTCCTCTGGGCTCCCTGTTGCTGAATCCTCCTCCCCCCATTGCTCCGGTGGGACCCCCTCCGACCCCGGCTCCCGGAGGTGAGGTGGGGCCCCCGCCTGTGCCGCTCCGCCCATCCTCAGATATGGTGGGCATTACCTCGCACATCATCATGAGACCGTGGCGTGTAAGTGGAGTTAATAAAGAAACTTCACAGAGGATTGTACATGCAAAATATCTGTGGTGACTTTGTTCTTTTATGGGCTTGTACTAAACATTAGATGTATAAAATATATATCTTTGCATTTTCCAAAAATATCATCCCTTTGGTCATGTCTACATCAAAATCGTGGTTAGGTTATTGCCTTTGTGTTTGTTTTTTTTTTTTGCATACTAGTCTTTCATCACAAAGTCCTGACCTACATGAGAAATGATCTGACTGTTCATGTGGAAAGGCAAATGCAGGGATGCATTTCCGTAGGGTAGCAAGGATTGGCAAGGGACAGGAAAGGGGAAAGGGAATGGAAAAGGAAGGGATAAAGGTGGGCTGATAGCTTTAAGTTGTGTCCACACCGCAGAGCTCCTTGCAGCGCCAAGCGGAGAGCTGGAAAACAGAGCAAGGTTTGAGTTAGCTCTAATAGCCTGGTTAAAAAAATAGTTACTTCTCTACAAAATAAGAAAAGAAGTGTAAAGTTTGATAGAATGACAAAGGTCAATATGAATACAGTAAATTCCAGCCCCTAGCTCCTGCTTCCTTACTGTTTGTAGGGTCAACAGTAAGAACTCTATTATGGGTAGGAAAGGTACTGCTGTGCTGAATTCAGACGGTCTTTATAGCCTTTCAGACATCATTATGCAATGGAAACACACATGGATGATGTTTGTTAAACTGGGACTAAGGCCTTCTGAAAAACATCTACAAAAACATGTCATAAATAAGACGAACAACTGAATCTCTCCATTATACAAACTAAAACATCTGAAGTCCTTTCACAGAGGATCCTGGGATTCTGTACAGCCCTTACAGTAAGTGGCAAATAGGAAAGAGAGGGGGTCCCTATGCTAAATTCACCATGATAGGAAGCATACTGCCTCCTTTTCTTACATCCTCTCTTACTGCCAGAACTATTCGGATATCCCTTATCATGGCGACTGTTGACACACTTCCACTTTGGCTTAAGAGACCTTCCTGATTTGATGAATTTGGATCAACACAGAAAAGCATATGAGCACAGAAAAGAGAAGAGATGATGATTATAAGATAATGCTTTTACTGGGCATTTTCATTAAAAAGAACCGGTAGATTAACAATTCAAAGACATTAATTCTATTTGATTTAGAATTATCCAGGTATTCATATTATTGTGTGCAATGATATATTTATATTTCATAAAAATCCCACTGGTTTATTTATCTAATTTTAATTTTATGAGGAAAGAAATGCATTTTGATTGTTTCTTTTCCACAAGCATGTGCTGGCCAAGCACAGGTGTGAGGTGTAAATTTACCTCTTGAGAATTTCCTTTTAAAAAGAGGTATTTAAAGGATTTTTATTAAGACAACATTTATGTATTAAAATTGTTTTTAAAATGGGTAGTCAATAGTCTTGGCTTGACTTAAGCAGAAAACATCACATTATATCCTTCCTTCCTTCCTTCCTTCCTTCCTTCCTTCCTTCCTTCCTTCCTTCCTTCCTTCCTTCCTTCCTTCCTTCCTTCCTTCCTTCCTTCCTTCCTTCCTTCCTTCCTTCCTTCCTTCCTTCCCTATTTCTTAGGGAGTTTTGCGTTTTACTTTGATTCTAAAATAATCATAAAGAACAGAAAAATTAGTGAAGATACATTTGGAAAAGTTTCTAAAGTTTTAGAAAAATTAACACTGCATGTTGATTTGATTTTTAGTCTCAACCGTGAGCCTCAAAACTTTAGCAAAGTCTTAGGGAGAGCAAAGAAAACTTTTTCAACATTTTTGACAAACTTTTGTCAAAATTGCTCAAAAGAACAAATCAATCTGATATAAAAAAATAATAGAATCTTTAATGTAAAATATGGCAGAAAATAAACTTTTTTTCAATATAGTTTGCATTTTAGTATTTAACAATATTATTGAACACAACTATGTAGACAACACATAGCTGTACATAATGTCACCAGGTGACTACAAACCTGGCTAAAGTGCTCCGTAAATGCATAGAAATAATCAGTTCATGGATCTACAGTTATTTTTTCAGCTGCATAAAAAAAAATCTAAAGCAAACAGGTTTGGACCAAAATGACTCAAAACTCTTACATTTTTGTTATTTACTTTTGTTCTCTTCAATCATTGACATTCATTAATGATCTTTTTATCTGTATGTCACTGCAATTTACTTTTCAGTGTTTTTTGTTTTTCATGGAGAGTACTTTAAATTGTCTGTCTACCTCACTTCATGGTTTTGAATCTTGTGAGTTATTAGGAGAAATCAGAGAAAATAATTATTTTCAGGGTTATTCTAAACTCTGTGTTAAGTATCCTAAACAAAAAAAAAACTGATTTAGGTGCTTGTAGGTAACAGTAAAAACAATATGTTGTATAGGCTCTTAACAGTTAGGCTTTTAATTATTGATAAATTATTATCATTTGTTCAAAGCAATCATCCATTTGTTTTGATTTCCTTTGTTTTTTCTAAATTAAATACTATTATTTAAAACTCTATAATATGACCTAATTAATTATTAACAAGGTATTTAAGGGAAATACATGTATATGGGGTTTTTGATCTGTAAAAGTTGTAAGTTGGCAATGTATGCTGTTATAATATCTTTGTTCCTAACTAAAAGAGATTTTTATTAAGCTTTGCGCTGATTTGAGAAGCAGCCAGTGCTGCTGTTGCTGGGTATATTAGAAAACCCAAGATATAGAAAAGTAGGAGAAAAATCGACCTGATGAAAAACTGGTCATCATAATAATCTTACATATCCAAACATTTTAAAAAGTTGAAGGAGGTGAACTAGATTTATTGATATTCAACAAAGAAAAAATCTATTGAAACTTAATGGAAAGGTAATTTACTATTTTTCTAGTCACACTGTCCTATCAAAGCATGTTACACTTCAGTCACATTTAACCAATTCAGTCACTAACCTGCACATATTAATACATTAATACAGGAGTAGGGTACATCAACATGTGACAGGGGGAAGCTGGATTTTAACCCAAAACATTCTGGTTGCCAGACAACCTCTAAACCTACTAAAGACAGAATGCAAGATTACATTGATTTATGTAATTTTGTATTCTGTTTTCTTTTTACATATTTGGCCAATTTCAATGCTAAAAATGTCAGAATTAATCTAGGATTATTCTTTTTTTTTTAAATCACCTTAAAAAAATGAAGATGCTTTACCTTTTATGGATCTCTGTTCTTATCATTTCAATATTAGGATTGATCTCAGGGTAAATAAAACCCTCTACCACTGTAAAAAGCATAACCAGTTCCTTCAAAGAGAACATGATATCTTGAGTTTGTATTGTTTTTTATTATTTTTTATTGTCATCACACTTGCTGACACAACTTTTGTTTACATGGCTTCCAGCAGTGCATGTAGCAATCTTTGACTGTAGGAATTCCAAGTTTGACAGTTTTTATTTGCTATTTCAGGGACCACAATAAAGCCAAGATCTAATGTAGAATAGAGGTCTGTTACACCTCTTAATAAACTTTTCTTTCAGTTGAGCTGACTGGAGCTCTTGGCAAATTTAAGATTTAGGAACCTTTGGACAGCTGGATCAAAAACACTATACAGTACATTTACACCTGAGGTCTTTAATTCCACTCCTTAAGGTCTAGTGTCCTGCACCTCTTTAGTGTGTCTGTGCTTCCACACCTAAATCAAATGGCTAAATTACCTCCTTAGTCAAGTTCAACAAAGTCCTGTTAGTGATCTGATTATTCAACTCATTATTCAACTATTCAGCCTTAAGTGATTTTCTAGGCCAAGTTGTCCAAAACTAACTGTGTAGGAACTGACTGCGTTTGAGTGGGGTGACAAGACTCTGATAAAAGTTCAGTTAAATCAGTTAAAGAATAAAATGTGAAATGATTATGCGTAGTAAGAAAGTGAGGTTTTTAGCTGCTTCAAGTCAGTGATGAGGCCAGTTACGACAGTAGAATTTAAATTGCACTTGTGGTTATACTGCACAATTTGATTGTATTATAAACTGTGATCACCACAGAGTTTTTTTTTTTTTTTTTTATCTTTGGGTAGGAAGCTGTTTTTTTAAGACCTCCAAGCCTTTCAGATGACATTTTTCCCAACTTCTTCCTTTTTACTGGGAAGTGCCATTCCAATCCTCATGCTATAAGCTCACATTCAAGCCTAAGAATGCAAATATCAAGTGGCTGTAGCTATGTGCTGATTTGCATAAACTGTAGAAAGAGTTTAATCTCAGAGAGTGGTTTTTGGTGTGGATATGAATGCTCACAGTGGACAAGAGTCTTTAGTTGCCAATTTTTCTCCTTCAAATATATATTTTGTTTCAGTTAAGAGCCGCTGGTGACAATATGACATAAGAATAAGATGTAAGAGAGCTTATATCATTTTTTTCTTATATAATTTTTTCAAAAAACTTGGTTTACTAATTTAGCACTTCTTTAAACACAAGCAGAAAACAAGAGAACAAATAAGAGAAGTTTTAAAAAAAGGCATTCCATTCAGACCAACACTTGTCAGTGTTTTACTGTTCAGTGTGATCAGTCCTCTCTGGGTAAAACAAAGCTGAATCAGGACAGACAACATTACTGAGCATGCTGCAGTTTTGTGTGAAGCGTCAGCTGTAAGGTCACTTAATGACCTGCTTGTTTATGGATGTGTAATGAAAGAAAGATAGCTGAAAGCAGAACAGTAATATATAGTGTCCTCATTAAGCATTAGCTGAAGCTGTGAGTTTTAAGATAGATTCTTTACTTGGTGTCCCAAATGATGAAGACATTTTTGGAGGTATTGAGAAAACTGTAAACTAGAAACAACAATCTACAGCAATGTACCGCTACATTTTTCTACTACTACTTTCTTTAAAGTAGCAGATGCAACAAGAAACCTCTGAGTACCATGCAAAAGTATTCATGTTTTTTTCAAGTTAGTTCTCATCTGTCCAGAGCAGCTTCTTCCACTGCCTTTCTATCCAGATTGCCTTGTATTTAGCTCCATTGGTATCTCTGCTCCTTGCTAAGGAAAGATACTGATAGCTTGATGCTGCTTTTTTTAATGTGTATTTGGGTCTATTGGTGTTTTCTAAGGTTAATTGCCCTTCTTACCCTTCCAACCAGTTTAGGTGGAGCTGCATGTCTTGGTAGGTTTGCAATCATATTATACTCTTTCTAGCTTCAGAAGATGGATTGATCAGAACTCCCAGAGATGTTCAATACTTGGGATATAGTTTCAGAACCTAACTTTGCTTTAAACTTCTCCAAACATTCTTCCTGACCATCTTATTGATGCTGCTTGCTCTCTATCTCCTCATGCAAATATAGCCGCTTTTGGGTGTTATCAGCTTATTTAATGGCCTTTATCGGTTATCAGTTCCATAGAATGGCTTCAGATTGTGCCTCCTACCCCCCAGTATTCTCAGTAGGTTGTTTTCACCAAATGAAAACTAACCTAAGGTAATTCCTTTTTGCCCGCATAATTAATTGGTGTATTTGTGTTATCTGGCTATATTTATAGTAGTTCTTCTTCTATTCTATATAAATTGATCCACATGTCACTCATTTCAAACAAACAAACAAAAAATAATGAAATTTCATGCCAATTGAGTTGTTTTTAAACATCATATTAAATCCATATCACTGAAACATTTAAAATTTATTAAAAGTACAGCTTTAAAACCAAGGTAAAAAAAAGTAGGTACATTGTAATGTAAATAAAAAAGTATAAATAAAAAATGTTACTTTTTAAAGATAAAAAGTAACATGATTCAGTGTTTAGTTTTTAAATAGTTTTCAAGCAGTGGAAGTGTTCAAATAAAACTTTATGCTTTTGAAAGAAACATTCATATATTTTTTTAAACGTACGTGATTTTATACATCTTAATTTTAAAGTCCAAGAAAAATGCAATAAACCAAGTTCAATTCAATTCAATGTATTTATATAGTGCCAATTCACAACACATGTCATCTCAACGCACTTTGCAGTTCACCAGATCAGATCAATGATACGCTGCACATTATCAGCTAGAAGAAACCTACTATAAGGTAGATGAGGCACAATCTGAAGCCATTGTACGGGACCGCTACCCACTATTAATGGCAATTTAATGGATGATTACATCCAAAACGGGTTCAGATAACAGTTGTATTTACAACATGGTTCCAAAAGTATTTGGTCACTTGCTATTAGACACAGACATAACCTTAAGTGACATTATTATTTAAATGTAAATGCTTTATAATACTGATTTCTGAGATTTTTTGCAAGTCTAATGAGTGTGCTAATGGTCATTTCTGCCCAATCTATTAGAAGTGCATTTGGGAAACCAGACACTGATATTGGACAAGAGGACCTAGCTCATATCTCCTAGCTCCTCTACTCTTAATTCCTCCCAAAGGGGTTTCATAAGGGTTAAGATAAGGACACTGTATAGACCAGACAAGCTCTCACACGGTAAACTCAATGACCCACATCTTTGTGGATTGATGAAAGGAAGGGGTCATCATAAAGTGCTCCTACAAAGGGTTTTAGATCTTTCAAATTGTTTCTGTTTTCTGGGAAGGAGTTCCTTTCACCGAAACTAAGGGTTTGAGCCGAAATCCTGAAGAACAGCCCCAAACTTTAATCCCCCCAGCAACAAACAATATGCTTGACAGTTTGGTCAGGCACATGCAATTCCCCTGGGAAATGCTAAACCTAAGCTCATTTATTTGAGGACCAGACAGAGAAGCATGATTCCTTATCCAAGAGACAACACCTTTATTATTCTAGTTCAATGGCAGCTTCTGTTACACCTCTGATGTATCTAATAATTTGCATTTAGTGGTATAAGGCTTGGTTGGAGTTCCTCTGCAATGAATCTTAGTTACATGGAGATCTCCATCACTGTTCGGAAGTTAATCTGAAGTCCACATAAAGTTTCAAGGTTTATTGACTTTATAGAAAGTTGGCAAACTCTGTGCATGTTGTACCTTGTTATCTGCTCACTAAGACTGCAATTAAAGATAATTTTGCAAATCGAATAATCTGTCAATTATTTTTTTTTGATTAATCGATTAATAACCAGATAGCAAACGGTTCCTTAAAGCAGACTTTTTATAAAATCAAATCAGATTAAACTAAAACTTTTAAACTTGAGGAGGCTGGATAGAACATCGTGACAAACACAAAGGTTTTTTTGATCTTACATGCAAACATTATTTTTTTTAAATCTAGGTATAATTACTACTCTGAGTGGGTTGCTCTGTCAGCTAAAGGCATATTTTACAGTCTCTATACTCCAGTTAACAATTAATGTTTTACTAAATTAGATGATGATTATTTCAATAATCAATTAACCATGATTAATCAAATTTCAGCCCTACTGCTAACCACACTGTGATTATAAATTTGATTATACCACCTTAAGCATTTTTGCACCTTTTGAATTTAAGGGTATTTAAGTAAAGCAACTGCATACAAATTTGCACAACATTCTGGAGATTTTTATTTAAACAAACAATGAAATAAATTTCTTCTTCTCCTTTCCAGTCCAACTAAAAACGTGCTCTGATCATTATTGGTCTTTCACAAATCAATTTCTGGTAATAATCTGACATAAAGTCAGAAAGTTTGAAGGGTGTGAATACTTTTTGGGTCTATTTAAAGCTGTTTCCACGCTGAAACTAAATTGCATTCATTCTGCGACTGTTGGAGTGCACAACTGCCCACATCATCATCATCATCATCATCGCCATCATCCCATACAATTGGGTATCTTATCTAGAAGTTGACAGTTGAGCTTTATAGCACATATGCTGCAATCAAGAGGAGCAATAAATGTTATAATTCCTCTTTGTTAATCAGAAAAAGGGGGGCTAAGGAAAGCACGCGCTGTGCCTGTGATGTTTGCTGTGTGTGCATGTGTTTGTCGATGGGTGAGAGAATGGGAGAGAGAAAAACACGCTTCTCCACCAATTACTGGGGCGGGGGAGAGAGCTGGAAGCAGCAAACTGAGTGGGTCTCTCTGTAACGTTAAATCACAAATCAAAAAGTGCATGCGACTGAAATGAATTACAAGAAGCAAAGGAACTAATAATCCCCCCATTCCTCTCTTGCCATTAAACGCTGTACCCCCCGGGGGGGAAAGCATCACTGGAAACAAGAAAGATGGACTAATCAGCACCCGGATCCTGCAAATATTAAAACTGTATGACGCTCAGCAGCTGACATGTCGGCCGATCAGTGGCTGCAGCTTCATGTCTGGATGTGAGGAGGAAAGACCATTCGGTGAGGAGCGCACGTGCGCGCACGCGCAACACTACATCCCTATGGGAATCTTGTTGGATGTATAACTGAGGCATCTTCTGCCCACCCTTTTGTTAATTTAACGACACGAGCATTATGGTTTCATTTCAACGTGAATTCTGATTGACTGGTTGACATTGACTAGTCAACCTGCATAAGACACAAATAGGCTATCAACAACCCCCATAGAGGCAGTGACAAAACAAACTGGGTGGTGTAGCCTAATTGCCAAGCTCCCAGTGGCAAAGAGCTTAGTTGCAGCCATGATTAATTACAAGCAACACATTCTACTAGGCCATTATATGGAGGCATCTTATGATGATCTGATGAAGCCCCCTCCACCCTCCCTATAATAAAACCCATCACCTCATCAGCTGTATGGAAACGGGCGCGTGGCCCAAATAAATCGTGTTGTCTATTTGTTGGCAACACACCTGTCAATCCCGATCGCGGACAAAAGCTTTAAGCCTTTCAGTTAGTCTAACGTGAGCCTAGACTCCCTCCAGTAGACACACATACATACATTTAAAGGCTTTCCGCGGTAGAAAAATATCATGGAGTCTCACATGCATCCATCCGTACGTGCACATTTATCTTCTGCGCCTTTTCTGCGTATCCTCGCTTCTCCCACCCCCCCTTCTCTTCCCTGTCAACGGAAACTGGGTTGCGATGGGGCGGTGTGAAGTTGCATCCTTACCACAGTCATCGCGGGGAGCCTGGACGGTCCATGTTTGTTGGAATAAAAAAAATCCCTTATACGTCCATTTAGGTTTTAGCCCCCCTTTCCGAAAGTACCCTTTATGTTGCTTTCCCCCCACATGTAAAGAGGGAGGGAAGAGGGGGTGGAGGGCGCAGGCAGGGAGAGACGATCCGCCACCTTACCACATAGACTCCCCCTCAGCTGGATTGGAAGGTAATGGGTCTTAAAGAAACATTCTCTCAGCATTCTCCGCATCTCTGTGATTTACGCGCGCGCGACACGCTCTCGCCCCGCTCGCGCGCGATCATTGGCCAATCAACCAGCTGATTAAATATACAGCGGGTATATTTCTCATTAACTGATATAGCATAAATTGTTTTCAATCTGCACTTAAGGAAAAAAACTAAGGACATTTGATAAAATTTGGTAAATTAAGTAAAAATATGTAATAAGATCTACAGTATATTTTAATTAGCAAAACATTAAAGTATCAACCGACGTTATTTCTTATTATTTAATGAATGCTGTATTAGTCTGGACAAAGTTCCGTTGGGATTTTCCGAAACGGTCCTGTCACAAATTATCATTTGGATGGAGATCTAGACTGTCTGGACTTTGACTAGGCCACTGCCACTCTAACATGTGGATCATATTAATTACATTAAGTTATATACCTAAAAGGGAACCCCTTTAAAATTGTGGCTTTGGTAAAATTTCAGCACATTTTCCTTTCAGAATTGCTCTATATTCTGGTAAATTCACCTTCTAATGAAATCTAATATGCTTGTTTCTGCTAAAGATAAACACACAGCCCCATCAGGCTACTACCTTCACCATGTCTCAGTGTGAAAATGCTCTGCTCATTTTACATGTTCTGCATCTCAGTGATTAATGACCTGTAAACCTACTGACACTACTTCACTCATTGGCCTGTTGAACACTTGGCTAATTGTAGATGATGCACATTTATCACTTGACCCATGATGCAATTGACTTGACAATTTTGTTTTATGCTCTAATTTCCAGAGTGTGTAGTTTCTTTTTATTTCTATAAAAAAATACAACTCCAAATGTTTCTTTTCAATTTTATAATAAGAATAAGCCAACAATAAATTTCAGGAAACAAATGCAAGCTACAACATAAGGGGACTCCAACATTAACAGCAATAGGGCCAATCCACTCCAGTGGAAGCCCTCTCGCAGTATATATTAGCAGTGGATGGCTCCACAACTGTACAAGTCCTTAATCATAAAAAAAAAAAAGAAAAGATAAATTTACAAAAACTAAAACTATTTTGATATGATCAACATTTATACTTTTGTTTGATTAAATACATTTTATTGCTGCAATATTCTGTGACAGAGCATCCAGCCGACTACTATTGTCTGATCTGGACCATGATGACTTTGTTTTTATCTTTGTAAAGATAAAAAGATTAAAAAATAATAATACATAACCAGAGTATGAGAAAAAGATGGCATGCAACTTTACCATTTGTTTTAATAATTTTTTTTTTTTTTACAAAAAAGTCTGAAAGAATCAGCTTTTGCAAATTTCATATTGATGCCTTGAAATATTAAACAAACCCTCAACTATTAGCAGATACATTTGCAGTGTTTATGACAACATGTGGCAGAAAAAGAATCTCATTTGCATGTGTGCTACAGCTATGCCATGCATTAATCTGCCAAATGTTATTTTGAGGAATATGACGAAATGCGCTTAAGGTTTATTAAAAATGGAATATAAAAGACTAATCCAGACCTTCAGTTTTGCGTCACATTGAAAGCTGTGAATCAAACCCCTTTTGTGTTGTGTTTTAAAACCCCTCCTGGGCAATAAGCCATATGACCTATACCAAAAGCTACTACTTCGGTCTTGCCCACATTCTATTGCATGATATGAATGCTTATATACACTCTGCTCAGGGTTGCATGACTTTCTAATACTGAATATATCCCAGAAACATTCAATTGTTGCAAGAATGTTACTGAATGTAAATGTGGGTGGTTACAGCCATATTTAAAATGCAAAGCCTTACTTCAACCATAATGAATTCACCAACCCATACATTAAGTCTATTCATACTGTCATAAATATGTATGCTGATATAGATATCACATTTGCACCTAGATCAGTAGGTCTTGCTGGGTGTGTGTGTCTGCATGTCTGTGTGTGTGGTTCAGTAAACATAAGGTGGTGCGGTCTTTAAGAGAGAGAGGGAGAGAGAGGAGAGATGGAGCCTGGGAAGGGGTGATGTAATGTGTTCTCAGACAATGATGTCATCGACTGAGACACAGTGAGGATTTAAAGTGACAAAGGCTTTTTTTTTTCAGAAGCTCCATGTAATTCTGTGTCGGATCTCCTCAGAGAGCTGCACCCTAGAGCACATGTGGGACCCTTTCTCATTGCTAGGTTGGGGGGTTGAAACAGAAATTCAGCACTTGTTTGTGTATACCTTTAAAGATGTTTGAGCATGATTTTACACACAGCTTCTTTATTATTAGATCAGGAAATCTGAGATACAAAAACAGAACATGATTTCACAGTGATAAAAACAGGATTATGTTGCCAACAAAAGCAGACATTATATATATCATACTGTATGTATATTTATATATGTATATTAGAGGGATACTAGGAATGGAAGCGTTAGCACTTAAATACTTGACAGCATCTGTATAGTTGCACGAACAAAATTTCATTTGAATAAATAATGATTTAAACCAAATGTCCTGCTATATATTCTTTATATTGAAAAGATTCAACTTTATTTCTTAAAATTCTTCTGCTGTTATACAATGTGTTCCCACTTGACCAGTTAGGCCCAACTGCTGCAGTCAAAAAAACACTCCTCTGGTATTGCCCAATGCACATTTGCAGTGCCTTGCAAACATTCTCACATCTCTTGAACTTTTCCTTGTTATTTGCCCCTCAACTTCAAGCTACAGTGTTTTATTCTTATTTTAGATGGAAACCAAAACAAAGTGATCCACCACTGTGAAAGAGGAAAGGGATGCATGGTTTTCAGATTATCAGAGAAATTTGTGTCCTTTTCCAGTTTAGCAAAATAGCTTAAACCCTGTCAGACTGGATAAGAAGCATCAGCTAAGAACAATTCTTATGTTTTACCAAATATCTTTGGGGAATTGACTGTAATATTCTAAGACATCATACTTAGCATAGTTTTCCTTTGCCTCCATCCCAGTCTTTCAAATCCTGTAATGGATTTCTACATCCCCACTAAAGCATTCCCACAGCATGATATTGCCACCAACATTTTTCCATGTAGATGGTCTGTTCAGGGTTTTGCACATTGTTGGTGTTCTGCCACGTAGTGTTTTGCAGTGGCAAAGAAGTTTTTAGTTTGATCATAACGTATTCTTGTCATATTTGCTGCCTTCAATGCTTGTGATGAAGAGGAAGTAAAACTGTTTACTGTATGTGCATCTTTTAATAATGCCTCGATTTTCAACACCCTATCATATAAAACTAAAAAAATAAATAAATAAATAGATTGGATGTTTGTGAAGTTGTCCACCAAAACAGATTTTTATGTCTTAGCTGTGGATCTCTTCAGGTGTCCTAGAGGTAAGATATTTCTTACACTTAAAATTCAAACCATTGATATTTTACTTCAAAACCCCCAGAACCTTATCTCAGGTTCAAGCTTGTTTATTTCAGACATAAAAGTATATAATAAAGACAGTATATGTCCATATAACATAAATTAAAACAGTCTGAAAAAGGGTGTATTGGCAGAAGCAAGAAGCTTAAAATGCCCACCCTCCAAAGCCAATTTACATTGGACTTGAAAGCAAAGAAAAAAAGAAATAGAAATAGAAGGCTACCGTTTATAATACATACCAATGTATGATTTTGGGAAAAATTATTATTCGATTATTATTATTCTACAATAATAACTTTTTTTCCCTAACAAACCCAATATATTACTGCTCTTAATTGCATTCACATGTTTCATATTTTTATTGCATTATTCTTAAATATGTTTTTCGACCTTAATGTTAATGTTGTACAATCTTTTAGCTCCTGATCTAATTTATTCCATACATCAACCCCAACAAAAGAAATCCAATGTTGTTTTACAATTGTTTTACACTACATCTCTGACCTATCTGCACTGTTTCTTGGTATTTATGAAGCTGTTTGTTCGTTCTCTCTACACTAAGGCTGACCCATACATGTGGAGCAAGCTGCCAAGGTTGTTGGTTCAACAGGGGTATTAGAGGGAAGGGATTGAATACAAATTGGTGTAATATCTTACAGAGTTTAAATAAAATTGTATTTATGGTCTCTTTTATATTGGTCATTTACATGAAATCTGACTTAAACACAACAAAGGGTGTGGTTGGATTAGGGCAATATGAGAAAAAGCTCAAGCACATGTCCCTCTGAAACCCAGTTTACTGCATTTTTTCTTTGATCTACAAACTTGTCCTTATTACTGTCACTCTCGGCTTTCCAAAGGATGCACTCCGAGTTACTCTTCCACCTTCAGACATAGTGCATGAAACACTGATGGCATGTCTGTTCGCTCGATCTTCCTCATCTGTCTCGTTCTCTTTACTTCCACCAAAACATTCCTTTATTTCTTCAGATCTCTCTGGATTTGCTTTCATATCGCAGTGTTTCTCTTTTGTCTTGTTTTGGCCATGAACTGTCTGATCAAAATCCCTCTCCTGAACACAAACTCCAGCCACAGTTTCTAAGGCCTTTACTTCACCTTCTTGCCCTGACTTGTCTGATTGGCCTTGTTCTTTTAGACAACATGCTTTATCCACTGCCTTGCCTTGCGTTTTATTTATTACCTCCAGGGATTTGTTCTCAACCACTGTACCACGTTTGTCCAAAATCAAATGCTTACAGGGATCTTTGCTTTCTTGATTAGATGATGTCACACCATTACCAGGTTGCACTGCTTCTTCAATTACCAATGCTTCTTCCTCTTCTTGCCTTGATAATGTTTGGTCATCACTCTTTATGTCTGAGTCTGAAATGCTGATATCACATGCAATCTTATAGAAGAGCGAATGGTTCTCTTTCATTTTCTGCAAGCTTTTACTCACTGTTGATGACATCCCATTAAGGTCAGTAGTGTCCTCAGTGCAACCTGGCTGGTTGGCAGTATCCTCATTTTCCTCAATAGATAAAGGCTCTAATGCAGGGATCTGTAAAGGTATGAATCCTTGACACTGGTTTGTGGACAGGAACCACTTACTCCTCAAATAGGAGGGTTTATATTTCTTATCTTTATCTTCCGCAGTGCAATCTTCAGGCTTGTCCTGCTCTTCATTGTGGCAATCCAAAGATGCTTTTCCTCCATCTTGTTGGTAGACTGTCATGGATGAAATATGATATGGAGAAAGTGATCTCTTGTTTTTAATGTTGGCAACCCCTGCTCTCCCACTGTGCAATGATCTGTTCTCCACCTGGACCTGACTTTTTGATATGTTAACATATGCTTCATCGCAACCCTGAGATATTGCATTGTGAAGGTCTGCTGATCTATTTAAGTCATCCAGACCGCCATCATTTCCTGGAGATTTGAAAGAGGGAAGAATTAGCTGGTGACCCAGTGTTTTTCTACTTGTTTAGTTTTTTTCTTATATATGCGCAGGTACCTAGTTTCAATCTTTGTTCTTTAGCTGTGTCACAGTGACCCTGGGGAACTTTCTTCTTCTCTTCCTTGACTGGACGCTGGTTGTTGATTGTAGCACTTTCTCTGGCTGCGCTAAGAGATGAACAACAAAGAATTTGTGGACAGTTGATTCTCTGTAGGATCTGTTTATAAATATCTAATTTTATCTCAGAGAAACAAACCCACCTTCTCAGCACTCTTTCTCTTATTCGTTCCACTCGTCGTAGTTTAGCCTCTCGCTGCTCAGAGCTCTGACTAGGATTCACATCAGGGGCTGAAGACTCTTCAACAGCCTGTTTGGAAAGTTTTTGAAATATATAATAGTAGTTATATCTACATAAAAAAAAATTGCAAAATAATCTTTGCTTTTGAGTTAAAGGTATAGTGGAGGATTTTCACGAATTTTTGAAAAGACCTGCTCTCTCGACTTTAAAAACACAAACACATGCACACTCCTGTACCCACTCCCTGGAGGGAACGTCTATGAAGCACGCGCAAGAGCATGCACAAGTCAATTTCTCCTTGTGCACCCTCTGTTTAAATACTGAAACAAGCAAGTTTCAAAAAGACTCACAGATACTTTAATGTTTAGAAATAATTTTGCACTCCAATTTACTGTACAATAAAGCTGTAATTGTTGGAGAAAGGGGATTATAACTGATTTCTAAAAAAAAATGTAATTTATCCAAATGTATGTTATTAAGGAAGAGTTGAAATGCCCCTCTGGGAGATTGTTTCATTTCTTATTCTTATTATCTTATTTTATGTAAGCCTTCCTCATGTGATAATTGCTAATGTTATTCTTCAGTTTTATCTGGTAGGGCCTAAAGATATATAAGGGTTGTTTTACCTTTTTACACCACAAGTGTACAAAATGTTGACAAAATGCAAGATTCGGTCACCTAAATTTAAAAAGACCCGTAACCTTTGATGCTATTTAATGTTACAAATTTTTAAATGGGCTAAAATGTGGTCCTTTGCATTAAGGTGTATGCATCTCCTGTGTGTCTGTAGATTTCCATGTTCAAGGGTCTTGCCCACAAACAGCTTGAGATAGGTACTAGCCCCCTGGAATCCTGTGAAAATTAGGCAAATTTCAAAAAAAAGTTACACCTCTTCTTACCCTATAACTTGAGCCTTCATGTCCACTTCCTGAATCTGTTGATTCCCGAACCTCATCTCTTGAGGCCTCTGTTCCTTCACTATTGCTCACTTCTAAAAGTGTCTCCATTTTTGGGCCCCTGGATGCTGCTTGATGTTGTCTGCTCATTCCTTTTCCAGATTGACCCTGATGCTGCTCAGTGATCGTTTGGTTTGATTCAGTCATATCCATAAGCAGCCGCCTGGCAGGTTTGCCGAGTAATTTCTTGCCTGGTTCAGCTGGTTGTTGCTGCGTTTCTTGCTGAATTTGTTCAGGCAGTGGAGTGTTGAGCTCAGCAGGAGGATCCTCAACAGAAACTCTTCTGGCCACAAGCGAGGAGGGCAGCACAGCTGTTACAACTCTGGTCACCCTCAAGGGAAAGGGGGCCTGACAAATTAAAGCTGAATCATGAAATGTATACCACATAAAAAAAAAAAAAAAAAAGAAAGAAAGAAATGTATACCACATAAAATTAAATACAATGTAGCTTTAGTATTGTAAAAACACATATTTTGGGTCTAACCTCCTCTTTTATCTCTGAACTTTGATTCTGAGGTTCTTGTGCAGCCAGCTGAGGTTTCTTTTTACTAGGCAGTCTCTCTTGATTTCTCTTCATCCTTTCAATCTGCTCTGCCTCGCTCATCTTCATTTTCATCCTCTAGCATATAGAACAGAAGATGTTTAAAATGCAAGTAATTTATAATCCCTTTACAACAGAAATATGCAATTGCTGTTTGAGATCAGAATCTATAAATGCCATTAGAAACATGTTTAAATTGAAATGCTACTTGCTCGCTTTAAAAAATGTATGACTGCAAGAAATGTGTATTCCTTCTATATGTAAAGGGTGGGGTGCTGGGGAACGGAACTGTAACAACATCGCAATGAGACATGAGCCTCTGCTGCCCTCTTTTGTTGAGAGTAGACATTGCAACATGCCCTAATTGCAGTAAATATGGGAGAACCAAAGAATTGAAATTTGGCTGTGATTGCAATACAAAAAAAAAAACTGCTTTTACTGCTTCTATATTTAGACTTCACAGTGACAGACCACTTCACAGTGTAGCATGGCAGAAATTAAGAAAAATCAAACCTTTGTTGGTTGGTTGACCGTGTCTGATGATATCCACTTTGAACCAGATGGTGATTCTGAGGATAAATTGGAAATAGTAAACATTGGACAGTATGAAAAGGTGGGTATGATGCCTCAAGAAAACTAAACTGAAAATATGTGGATAGATAGCAGAGCACCCCCACCCCTACAATGAACAGTTTAGGGTTTTGCAATGAAAAACACATCAAAGACATCAGTACGCAGCACATTTTAAAAAGTGTCATGTTCTCTGTTAGCACAGACTGTGTTTGTTCCAACCAGTTGCATCTCTCTGCCCTTTCACATTGAGGAGGTCAGGCTGACAGTTCCCTCTTCTGTCAACAGGATCAGCAGAATGCTCATAGATCCCCTAAAACATAAAAAAAAAAAAAACATTAAAGGCACTGGTACATTTGGCTATGCAACTATTTTACTGAATAATGTAAAAACACTTCCACCTCATATGGTGACTCTGACCAAACATAGCTCATGTCCTGACTTTGGTGGCTCTCTTGCAGCTCCAGGGGTAACGGTGGGCGGACTGGTGGCTCTTGTCCCAATTCCTGCAAACATTCATTATGTTTCAATGAGGCAAAGTATGATGTAACAGTCACAGTATAAACACATGAGTACGGAACATGAATGCCACTTTCTGCATGTTTTATTGTTCTGGATGTTGTTGCGGATGTTGTTGAAGGAACTTGAGCATTTTTAATACATAGAGAGATGTATTAGAGATGTATTAGAGAGATACAAAGAGATGTATGACAATAATTAAGGGAAAACACATGCTAAACTAGAGAGAGGAAGTTTTTTAAAAGATAACAGGAAGGTTGAACAAAGAACAAAACTGAGAAAAAGTTTTAGCTTCTAAGATCCGTTAGATAATGCTAGATATGAGTTGTTTTATAAACTACGTATATTCTGAGAAATATTCACAAAAAAACAGCTATTTTAGTAATGGTGACCAAACAAAATTTATTTTTTTTTCCCACAAAAGACAGTAACAGCAAAATAACTTGATAATCATTTAGCATGTCAACATGGTAAATATAGCTTTTTCTTGGAATATAAAGAATTGTTTACTTTTTATGGCGGGAAGGCTATAAAAAAAACTTTATTAGTACTTGATTACTTCTATCTTATGTCCAGTCCCTTATACTGAAATCAGACCTGAATGCAAACAATTCTTGATTAGCAGGTCGTAGCTTCAGAAAAGCGAAGATCAACCACCAAATTATCGCAATTATTCTGTTGTTATAATAAAACTAACATCGCCCTTTGTTGTTAGAACACTGTATACATAATTTGAGTTAAGGGCTTAGAAAACATCATAAACATCAATGGTTACTGTTGGAGAGAGGTTACTATGGAGCATTACCATTGGCAGTCCAATGTGGAGCCCTTCTGTGGGAGAAGCAGAGGATCCAGTTGGCAAAAGCTGGAACACTGGAGACAGAAAAAGTGTCTTCCTTAACAAGTTTGGTTTGTTTATGTTTTCAGGTGCATGATAGAATCCATACCTAAACTAATGTTGCAAGTCTTAAGTAGCTGCATTGAACAGATAGTGGCATCTCTGATGTTATATAAAAAAAAAAACAAATCTCTGCAATGAAACAAACTCCAGTCTTGCTATTGCTTAACATCATAATTCAGGAAAAAAATGAGAATGTCACTCAGTCTAAATTAAATTAATGGCAGTTCTAATTTAAACTGTTTAAGTTAATGTTAAGATTCATTTAAAGCAGATGTGGTCTGGACTTGGCAGGGACCCATCCTGAAAATTAATATTTTGTAAGTTTTCTGGGCTCATTCTAGGAGGGTTATGGTTACTGTTAGTTAAATGCACAAGTTGGACGCTTTTGTTTACTTCTATTTTGTTGGCCTCTCTCATTCTGCCTCAATTATATTTATATGAATACACATCTACATTTAGTCTAAATCTTAAATCTTAACCACTTTTATCCAACAGGCTTGTGACAAATTGCTTTTTGCATAGTTACCACGCCTCTCAGCAGTAGTGATAGAGTTGATCTAAATTTGGTTAGGATGAGGTGGGGACTTTTAAAAGGCCATTCTAACATCTCAAATGTCTTTATTTAACATGTGTGTTTTCCAATTGGGTTCATATTTCTGTTGCATTGTCTCCAAATTCAACACTGATTAAACAAAATGGAGGCAATCATCCTTTAATTATTCAATTCACTTGGACCAAAATCACTGAAAACCTAACAAAACTCTCACCTCTGTGGTAAAATCACACTGTTTGACAGACAATGGCGTGTTAGAAAGTTTCAAAGCCCCAGTATGATTCCTCGAAAAATGCTTCTTGGCACTTTTCCTGGATGGTATTTGACTTTTTTTTATGCACACAGCTGCAGATTCAAGTTGAACTTTTTTTTTTTAGAGTTTTTTCTTTTGCCCAGCTTGCACTCCCCCAAGCTTAAGGTGGCTTCATTTCAATGTGGCTTCAACATACTGGCCAATGAGAGAGTAAAAGTTTGACAGAAGATCATCAACAAATATCATTATTTTACTTTGCAATTCCCTTCCTGTACTCACTTTTTGTGAATATAAAACTAAACCTAGAATTTCTTCACATGAACTTAACAAAACACGGAAATACTGAAGGTTTTTCATGCTGCTAATAAGCTGCTCCAAGAAAAGCCCCTGAGTTTTCATACAGAGATAGCAGACGTGTTCTTGATCAGCAGCTAATCCTTACTGTGATGTGTCTGTAGTCCCAGCAGGAAGCAGAAATAATCCCTATTGACCTTCAGCCCATCAAGGATGTCCTCCATCATCCACAGCTCTCTCTGAGCCTGACACTGCTCCTGATCAGAAAATTAAACCTTATGATACATCATGGCACACAGGAAACTTAAACGTGGTGTTTAATTTTATGACTTCATAATGTTGCCACTTGCCTCTCAAAAAGCATATTTTTTGTATTTTAAATTATGTCAATCCTTCAAGATCTAGATGCACATTTTAACAGAAGATAATACATCAGTTCAAACGTACCTGTGGAATTCCAAAGTTACAGATATGATGAAGGTGTGAACGAATAACAGAGAGTTCGCTCTCCATCCTCTCATATTGACTCCACACATGCTCCATTTCCTTTATGTAGAAAAACAAGTATAAGATAATTGGCTTTCTATAGACACATGCAAACGTCTTCTCTCTGTCACTGACATGACAGTTTATATCTTTTGTTACACACCAATGATACATCACAGACTCTGGCCCGGATTGTGACCAGCTCATCTTGTAACAGAGCCTTCTGCGTCAGTGCTTCTTCAAGGGCCCGTGGCCCCTGGTTTCTCCATTCCTCCACCTGGAGCCTGGATACCTCCAGTGCACACTGGACGCTATCCTGCAACAGGTACACAACAATATCAAGCTTTTTACTATTAATTGTTCTTCATTTTCCCCCAAAAAGGAAAATAAACCTAAACTAATTCCTATGTAATTTTTACGATTTAACTGTCTTTAACATTTGATATTACTTAATGAATATGTATTGATGAATATATATTAATTTGCAATAGAATATCATCAAGAGACAAAAAAACATTGATTATTAACCTTATCCATCTGGAGCTGAGTGAGCTCCACTGACAGGGATTGCAGCAGCTTGTCACACCCACAGAGGCGCGTTAACACAGCCTAAAACAGAAAACGGTTAACCTTTCGTCTACCAAGAAAAAGGTTAAATATCTTTAAAAGCAGCTTAAATGGGAAAACTCACATCTGCATCACTTTCAAGAGGTCGTATCGTCTGCAGATCCCTCTGATCAGATTTAGAAGCCTGAGAAGAGTTGAAGTCATGGCTTTCATGTCATTCTTTAAAAGCAAGTATGTTAACACCAATACTTCATTTTGTGTTTTTACTGTTACTTCTTTATTTTCAAAACTAAAGTAAATGATAAAAGAGACAACCTGGACAACAGGAGCTTTGCTTTCTATAATTAAGCAAGCACCTGTTTATTATTACAGATTGTACATAAAACAAATATGCTGGATGCATTTAGATGGAATTGCTTTAGTGATGTCTGATATTACTGGCTCTATATGTCAAATTAGTTTTTCTGTCTAAATTAATGGTTGATGCTGGCAAAGAAAGATCTGAGATTTTGAGGAAGTGTAAGTAGAGCCTGAGAAATTAAATCACAGAAAAACATAAACTCCCTTTTTAGGTAATGGTTGTAAGAGGGACTTCCTTATTCTCATTATAGGTTTAAGAAATGAGATCTTTTTTTGTTGAGCTAATGCTATTTTTTTTTCTTTTCTTGTCAAACAACATTAGATATGCATTGCTTTAGAAAATGTAACATAATTTAAGATTTTTTATTTCAAATTGTAAAGAAACCTTTAAAAAATTAAATGATATTATTTCCTGAGGAAGCCCTAAAATTTTGCTCAAAAATTAACTCCAAATCAGGCTCCTGATTGCTTAATGCTGCTTCAAGAGTTTCTTTTTCTTCTATTAAAACATCAAAGCAGCACAATTTGGGCTAAAATCAATTAACTGTAAAAATTTGCAAAAAGTATCTGAAAATCTTCTTGTATTTTGATGTATTTTATATTTTTATTTTAAATAATTTCTTTTTCATTGTTATTTTATTATTTTTTGTTTGAATTATCTTCCTCAATTTCTGTATGTTCAATTGAGTTTAATTTTGCTAGTTGCCCATTATAAAATCTGCTTAATTTCTTTCTTTAGATTTGTATTTTTTGTCATACTTGCGCATACTTTATTATAGATAGTGCAATTGCTGTAGAATCATCATGTAAATTCAATTTCCTGTGTAAATCTTTTTATGTATGAGATATAAAAACACATTAAGAAAACAACACAACACTATAAACAAAGCAGAGAAAAGCATGGCGCTATCTGGCGGACATAGCTGTACCATAGCTGGCGGAAGCACAGAAACAGGCACATGGCTGCAGTGAAGCTGGCGCTGCTGTTTTGAGGGGTTGGAGGCATGCGCTGCTCTTGATGAATGGGGTAAAGGGGGCAATAAATCTGCCCTTGTTGACTGGCTCTGAAGGAAAACACAACAAGCATATAAGACACAAACCTTATATTTTGCATTTAAACTTTTGGTTTTAATGGGAGGCTTTAAAATAAACAAAGAATATATTTTTTCTTATTCATTCTATTATCCCAGGAACTATGCATTAAACACACACGTACACAGACACACATTTGCAAAATATTACTTTATATCGAAACAGATTTTACACAATATATAAGGTCACCTTTGCTAAGGGTCTTCGTCCACTTGGTGTGTGATGGACAGAGCCATATAAGGCTGCAGGCTGGAACAAAAAATTAAATGAGGCTTTCATTATGGTATGTGGAAGAATTTAATTTGATATGTGCATAAGGAACGCCCTGCGATGGACTGGCGACCTGTATAGCGGGTACCCCGCCTCTCGCCCATAGACAGCTGGAGATAGGCACCAGCAGCCCTCGCGACCCCGCTTGGGATAAACGTGATGGAAAATGGATGGATGGATGGATGGATGTATAACGAACTTAATTCTGACTTGTGTTCCTGGTGCCACCCATATGGAATTGGAGCTTTCCTTTATATAATCTTAAAATCCTGGGTATGAAGCAAGAGGCTCCAAAATAAAAAAAAAGAAATGCTGTATTAATGCTTGCAGTCATTTCATAAATACAGTAAGGCCTACTTGAGATTGCTGATTACTTGCAAAAAGCTTCAGCATGTGATGCTAATGGTTGAATAAAATAAGTAAGAGTCTCCTTACAGGCTTTCACTTCTTTTTTTTTTTCTTTTTTTTTTTTTTTTACAAACAAATCAAAACATTCAGCTTTCAACTTGTACCCCCAGACTAATAGGTAGTCTATCTTGTTTATTTGAAAAGAAAACAAAACTTTTTTTTTTTTTACATTTTCCTATCTTTCTTTGCAATGGCATAAAAACAACCTCTTAGGGGTCCCATCACTGACACCCGATAGGCCCCCTATGCAATTATTAGATGATTAGAACTTCTCTTTGCATATGTAATGGTGCAAAAAATTCATCTTAAACTCACCTGATACTGAAGTGTCTGATCACACCACAAGCCAGATTTCAACATGATGGTGAGCCGTTTAAACACGACACCAATAGCAAAGCAGACAGTGGTACTTTTAATTACTGTTAATAACTGTGTATAGTTAGTACAGAGAGACAAATTCTGCATATATTTCTTCTACGTTAGAAGTATGGCTTCTTTTTAAACTGAAACCTGTGGTTATTTTTAAGCAAATGCTGTTAATGATCACAATCAGAGCAAAATCAACAGAGGAAGACTGGGCAAAGATGAAATAAATAAAAGCGTACAAAAATTTAGCAAAAAACAAAACAAAAAGGATGTGGGAAAATTAAATCAAGCGTATTTCATTCTGTTCCAAAAAGTAAAACATTTACTCCTCATTAAAAACCAGAGTATTACTTGATAACTAATTATTTTAAAATTATGGCAGTGTGAGATAATTCATCACTTAAGATTCTTCTGCTTTTGGTGCAACAGAAACAGATGTTTTAGGTTTCCTTTTACAATTAATTTAACTTTTTATAACCATGAAAATGAACAAAAAACATCCTCACCTTGCTGAGGCTTTGCCACCTTTCTGTGACTGGAGTGGTGGGTGCAGACTTGAACTCTAGTTTAGGGGAGCCAGGTGTATAATACACCGTGACAGGGTCATCATAGGGTCGAATGTCGACCCTTCCCACCGGCGTATGAGGTCTAGAGCCCAGCTGTCCCTTTGAACCCAAAGAGCCTGACCCCACAATTGCTCCCTGCTGAAAATGTTCTTCATTGGAGTCCTCCTCCCTGTATAGAGTAACTCTTCTTCTGCTTGAATCAGCAGGGCTTGGTGTTCTGTTTGAAGGGCTTTGAAAATATCACAAAAAAAGAACAGAATAACAAATTTGGGGTTTCTTAGATAAACAAAAAAGATTTCGACACCAAACTGAATTATCAACCTCCTGTTTCTGTGATGCATACTCCGTCTCCCCCTTGGCTCTGACTGTGACCTGCCTGCCCTCCCGCTGAGGAGCTGACTGGGTTCACTCATGGTCCTGCTGACATGCTTGTGTTTTTGAACTGGACTCTCCCCCTCCGTGGGTGATTTGGAGAAATCCACAGACTCAGTACTGCCACCAATCTGTGTAAAATCTTGGTAACTGGAACAGCGCCTGCAGTAGATGGGTCAGAGTGGGTATTCAAGAAGCTTTTTGTGTACATTCACCTCATCATCTAAAACCTTATGGCAATCTTGAAGACTGTCATACCTGTTCATGCCATTTTCTGGCTCCATTGTAGCTGATTGGCTCAGGGCTCGAACCCAACCCAGCATATCTTCTTGAGTATCAGCGCTGAAGAAATATGGTCGCATTCCCTGATGCACCACCTGGATTTACAGGCATTGTACATAAAATTAGAATTTTTTAAACAGTGCATTGGGATCTTAATGTTATCTGTCATATAATCTTCAATGTATGGCTACATAACGACAAATGTGCTGCCTTTTTTATTGGTCATCCTACCGATGGATATTGGCACTAGTGTTATCATTTTGAAATGTTTGTAGATTTTGGAAATATATTTTTAGCCTTTATCTACAATTTAGTAGTAAAAAAATCTTGACTTATATTACAATAATGACTCCTTCTTATAATTTCTGATAATATTTTGCATGTATCCCTGAAAAGTTTAACAAATGATGATTTTCAAGTCCCTGAGGGTTGAAAGAGCTATTTTTACTCAGCCTGATCTTTTGCTCCAGATTTTTAACCAGTTTGAAGTTGAGAGCCTGGCTGGGCCACTAAATACTAACATTACTTCCTGTTGGAAGAAATATGTTTTTATAAAAATATATATGATATAAATAATACCTTCAGGCCTTAATCTGATAGAGGTTCTAATAATGTTGGGCTTACCCATATTATCAAAAAATATTTTTAAATATCTCTGTTAAAAGTCAAAAAGATAAGTGTGACCATATGTGAGAAAATAAATGTGTATACAGTAATAATTAGTGACTCTATAATATACAATTTATCAGGAATCTGAACGCAGTCATATTTTGTTGAATCTGCTTGACAAACTGAAAACCGGTCAGATAATTTAAATCATTTATAAGCAAGGTTAGTATATACTTTATCAATAGTTAAAGTAAGAATTGTTTCAGTGTTATTCTGAAATTCTAATTACTTCAACTTGATCAATTCAAAACCATCCACTATAAACAGAAACCTTTACTACCTTGAAGGTGAACTTCCTGTTTTTGCATTCTCTTGGTGTACAGAAGAGGATTTTGTAACTGGGGAGTGGGATGCTTCCCAGTACCGTTTCTTCTCTACTGTCTAGGGACAGAAAATATATTATATAAAGAAGAACTTTAGAACTCTCAGAAAAACTGAACTCATCAGCAGGTGTTATTATTCCTACCTTTGTAGTAATACAGACAATAGTTGGAGAGGACAAACCATCTTCTCTTCCAGAGCTTTAGACCAGAGCTGTCCTGTAGATACAATGCAAAAACAGATTCAACATTCAGACCGACTAAATCACTTCAGATTTTGTCATGTTATATAACCAGAACCCTTGTATTTATGTTTTTAAAAGCTGAGAATGGAAAAACTACACAGCGACGGATTTGGATGCAGCCCATTTGGTAGATACTGTACTTTGTTTGCTTATTTTTCTTTGCAAAATTCTCAAACTTGGGCATATTAGACTGAGAGCACACCTTCAAGTTTTCCTACAGATTTAGAATTGGATTTAGGCCAGAACTTTGACTAGACTGCTCAGAAATATCAATATGCTTTGATTTAAATCACTTTATAACAGCTTTTGCTAAACCTTTAGCCCAGCCTATAGCAATTTAAAAGAGTTTCTTCCAGGAATGTCCTGTATTCACTTCCATCCATTTAACCATCAAATTAGCAGCTTCTCCATCTCTGCTGAAGAAAGGCATCCCCACAACATGATGCTGCCACAAATCTGTTTCATGTTGGGATTGGTGTGTTTCTACAGTAGCTTTTGGCTTGATGGCCAACAGTTTGAGTTTGGTTACTGTAATCAGAGCATCTTCTTTAACATGTTTGCTTTTTTTTTTAACATTAACATTATTTTGTAAATTTTTATTTAGGGCTAATGGACCCAGAGTGGAGGCTATGAGGATCAAACCAGGTACTTGGAACCTTCTCAGAGTAAAAGCACACTGCTCTAACCACTAGGCCCTCACTCCCCACTTTCATCCTTCATTAAGGACAGATGACTTAATGCATGATGAAAAGTAGTTTTGTTGATATATCCTTTAACCAGAACTATGGACTTATTATTCCAGATCCTTCATAAAAATTCCTGATGCTCGTTAAACTTTCAAAATCACAATGCTGTCCCTTACCCTTTGCAATTTTCCATTACTTTTACATCACTTATCACATTTAAATTCAACAAAATACAATAAAGTCAGGGTCTAAGGTAACATATAATCAATATAGTTACCTTGAACTGTAATTTCTGCATCAAAATAATTAAACTTACTTTTTTGTTGAGCCATCCCCTGATGACCACTGGGCAGTTAGGGTCTCTTTTAGCAGCCTGACACCTTTTCCCAAATGTCTGCACCTTTCCATCACTTTCCTATTTAAAGTGGAGAGAGAGATATTTATTGATCTCTTAACTCTCTTCCACGCATGCAAAGAGCAATATAATTAGGGAAACAAACCATCATGACAGGAAAGTAAGAAATTGTAGCCACACTGGACGCTTGGCTCACTCTGTCTTGGTCGTCCATTCTGATAAAGAACAGAAAAAAAAAAACATTTGGAGAAATGCATAAAATAAAATAACAGTCTTAAACAAAACATTTAAAGCCAAAATAAAGCTACTAAAAAATGAAACAGCTCATCATCAAAATATAGCATCACAAGAAGCAGTAGGAACATATAGACATATGTCCTGCGGGCTTACCACTAATATTTAATCAGTGTGCCTGCACCAGCAGTCCGTCACACCCATGAACACCCCACCAAAGACTTTCAGACACACATAGGCCACATTCCCATATTCCCGTCAACTGTTCATTCTTTCAGGCGTTCAGTGTTGTGCTCTCCCACTTCTAGCAAAAAGCTCCCACAATTCTATTCTGGGCCATAAGCAGGCCAGTGTGCATCCCTGCCATGAAACTGACAGGTGACAGCTGCGTCGCTGTGGTAACAGGGAGGGGCTGGGAGCGTGTGAAAACCAATCTGGCTGCAGGGGGGTGGCATTAAAAGGGAAGTCTAAAGTGTGCCCAAAACTAAAGGACCTCACCTTGAAATGGAAAAGAGCTGAACACCAAAGATGAAGATGTGCATCTGTGAGTCGGTTAAGAAAAATATTTAAAGTCTTACATATTACAGATATATTCTTTAACAGATATGTGGTCATAAAGCTTAACTTAGCATATCTAATTATGTTAAACCAGCAGAGGTCAGCAGACATAATTAAGTCTACACCTTTTTTTTATTATTTGAAATAAGTTTGAGTTGCTCTCACAGAAAATGTTATATATATAGATCTATATATATAGATATATATAGATCTATATATATATCTATATATATAGATATATATATATATAGATATATATATAAATAATATGTGTGTATAGATCCAAAACGGGGAGGGCTTTTCTGCAGTATTTATTTGTGCAAAAATGAAAGATTAGATATTTCTGTGTGATGAAATTATATTTATTTTGGATTATTTACATGCTTTCCAAAGGTACATTATTATTAGATTGCATATGCCAATAAAAAATGCCTCAGGTTCCACTACCAATGTTATATAAAGTAGTTCCTTTGCATTAAATCTGAATTATTAACTGTATGCTGTTTTTCCTTGTAATTAGGACATTAGAGCAACAATACTCAGGTATTTTAATTAGATCTAAATAACTTCTTGAAGCTGGTTTGTCAAATAAATGGTTAAAATCTTTCTTAATTTAGACCTTTCTGTTTATTGAACAACTTTACAGATGAACTTAAAGATAAAAGCATCACGAGAAACATCAAACAATGAACTTCTACAAGTTATCATGGGCGACCACAAGGTTCCAACAAGGTTTGAAGCATCCACAATCCACAAAACACAGTCCCCTACCAGAGAAATGAGCCCGGACAATCATCTCTTTGTAAGACATACAAGAAGAAGATAACTTTCACTGTAGCCATTGGGGGTGAGGGGTTGTGGGAGTTGTGAAATATTCAGAAAATCTCCTCCTTAATCAGGCAAGGTCTCTAACATGTAGAGGAGAGGACAAAATGCTAAATAGGGAAGGATGGGAGGAGAAAGGGAAGTCTGTGTATGAAACAGAGTGGGCTTTGTGATCCCCAAACACTTAAGAGAATCATGTGAAGCATCAAAGAAAGTGTGCTGAATATATTTTGTTGGAAAATAAAGCTTTCTCTCTTGACAAAACTTTGGCATTTCTCCATTATTCTCAGGCTTCAAATGTCAAAACTAAACAAAATAAATTTAACCTTTGATAGTAAAGCTGGAAAATCAGGGTTAACCCCAGTAGTGATGTGAGTGACAAAGATAAGGACACGGAATTTGCAGCCTATTTCCAAAATAGATAATAGATAGATAATGGATAACATTAAAATCATCAGAAAGAAAAATGGTGTATGTGAATAATGTCTCTGACCAGAAATGCTCAGCCACAGATAAAATGTTAATAACCTGTACTTATATAGCACTTTTTCAAGTCAAGAAACTTGACCAAAGCACTGTACACTTCATTCAGTCATTCACCAATTCACACACACACAGACACTGATGTTGGAAACCTTCATTGTAGTATTGCTGCTGTACACAGAGACAGCGGGCCCTCTGACCACCATTAGGATACGGGTGAAGTGTCTTGCTCAAGTACACAAGATTGATAGCAGGCTCAGTTAATCCAATGAACTGCATGGTGTAACTTAAAGCGTCTAATTTTAATGTAATATTAACTGTAAAAGATTTAAAAAGGGTTTTAAAAATAAAAATTTTTTTTTGGAATACTTCAAATCTGTGGTGATTATAATGACTGTTTGGCGGAGTTACATTGGAGAAAGAAAAAATATGTATCTCAATAACTGTCTTACCTGATCAGCTGTGATCGCCTGCCTCCTTCTTTAATCTCCATCACTTGGAATTCTTCCTCACAGCATCCCCTCAGGCTTGGCCGCTGTCTCCCATTACCTCTACAGTCTGCTATAAAATCTAGCTTTCTTCATCATCTGATGCATCGTCTCTGTTGCTAGATGTTTCACTTTATTTTGACTTAGTTTAAAATGCTCTACCTACGCTGGTGCGCTCCACTGTATTGAAACAGTGAACTCTTTGTGAGCGCTTTCTTTCGTCCTCCCCCTTCTCTTCTTCCTCAGTCTCTCTTACTCTCTCCATGACATTGACCGCCTCTCTGTCTCTTGCCGAGTGTGGGTTTGTGACTCAGGAATTTACAAAGAAATGGTTGTTCTCTCTGTCTTAGTAAATTATTTACCAAACATCTGAACTTTACAACTATGAAAGAGGTTGACATTTACCATTTCATTTTTATAAAAGTATCTTGAAATTTCAGAAGAAATCTTCAGTCATATGTTAAGTTTATTTTGTGTTCAATAAATTCCAAATGATCTGTTATAAATTAACAGTAGTCATGTAGTTATTGTGTCTGTTGAACTAATATAAAATTCCTCCAAAAGTAAAATACTTACCGTTCCAATTGAAGAACTATCATAGGTGACATACAGCAATGGGGAAAATGTATTTCTTTGGTTTTTGCTTTATTGCCATACTTCATTAAACACATTTATATTAGAGAAAGATAACTTCAGTAGGGAAAAAAAAACTCTTGTTTTTGTTTTTTTTAATCTGTTTTTTTTTTTTTTTTTATAAAAGTAACAAGAGCCTTTCAAGTCAACCTTCCCCTAGGTAAAATATATATTTATATATTTTCCTTATTGGTAAGTCTTGAATGGACTGTGCATAACTATGTTTGACCACCACCTTAGCCAACAGTCCTCAAAGGCTATAGACCTTTTGGCATGATATTGCACATCATGAAGGTCCTAGAGAGACTCCTGTTAGTTCAGCTGGGCAAGAAAACAAGCAGTTTGCTTATTGTCGTGGAATCGTTTTCATACACTTGCTGAAACAAACTGATAGGGCAAACAGCATTGTGAGGATGTTCTTTGATTTCTCCAGTGGATTTAATCCAATTTAAAATTATTTATTTTGTTATAAACTCTGGAAAATCAGGTTAAGACACTAATATTATCATCACCTGGAAGAAAGACTACCTGGCAAACAGAATATAGTTTATGAGACTGAAGAGTCAACAGTGTAATTAATCAGTCAGTGTCATAGGAACAAAATGGGATGGTACTCTCATTATTCCTTTTGACTTTGTGGAACTCCGACTTGCAGTACAAGTGGAGTTGGTGGAGGATTACAAATACCTCAGTCTTCACCTGTATGACAGACTTGATTAAAAATGTAACTGTGAAGCTTTCTATAAGAAGGGACAGAGCAGACTCTACAGGGAAGCATAGGTCCTTCAGTGTTTGCTGCAAGATGCTGCATTTCATTTATTTCTGTTCTGGAGATTGTGATCTCTTCCTCCATCATCTGCTGAGGTAACAACATCAGAGCAAATGACTTAGAAAAGCTCACTAAGCTGATAAAGAAGGTCGGCTCTGTTCTTGGAACTCTTCTTGAACCTCTGGAGATGATATCACAAAGAAGAATTTTTCATAAGAACTGTTCAGGGTGTACCCCGCCTCTCGCCCATTGACAGCTGGAGGTAGGCACCAGCTCCCCTTGCGACCCCGAAAGGGGTGACAGAAAATGGATGTATGGAATTCTTCATAAAGTCAAGAACATTATGGACAACAGTAGTCAGAAGATCCTGTCTAAATTAAATTTAATTTAATTGAACTGAATTGAATTGATTAGATCTGCTTAGTTTTGCAGGCTGCACATAGGCCTGGTGTTTAGTCAACATGTACAATCATGAAAACACCCTGTAGGACCTGTCTGACAACATGAAGCATGTTTGAATATTTTATAATGTAACACATAATGCCCTAATCTAAGAAATTCAGGAACATATGTATACAGAAGGAATTCACAGTCATATATCTGCAAAGCTTTATAAAGCAATTTCTTAGACTTTGGGACTCCAGTGAACAACAGTAAGAACTATTATTAACAGCAAAGAAAATATGGAACATAGACTGAACTGCCCAGTAGTGATCAGCCAACCAAACCTACTCCAAGAGCACTTTGTCTGCTCATCTTAGAATTCAGAAATAAATTACATTTGTAAATTTCTACATGCCTCACTTGCCTCAGTTAAAGTCAGAGACCATGATGCAACTAGTACGAGACTGGGAAACAATGACCTCCAAAGCATGAACATCATCAGAAGGAAACACCAAGGTCCATCTTACATTAATTCAAAAGTACCTTGCTGATCCCTATTTCTATTTTTGTAAAGGGAGAAACATTTTCTACTTATTGAATGGTGAGCCTCCTGCTACTGTACAATTAGAGCTAGACCAACATGAAGATTGGATGCAAATTCAAACTGACGACCGAACATCACCTGCATTCAATCACCTAATCATTCACCTCTAATCGTGTCCTGTGACTTTAGGGTAAGTTGCACAAGGTTAGGGCAAGATGATAACAAGACCATTGTGTCTTGTTATCAACTCGGTTGAGGAAAAATAAAAAAAGCTAAATCAAAAAAAAAAAAAGGTTAATAAAACAAGATAAATATGGTAAGAAAACAAATATTGTTCTATGAAAACAGACTTGAGTTCCTTCTGCATGGTGTTTGCATGTTTTCTCTGGGTACTCTTGTTTCCTCGCACTGTCCAGGAACATGACTTTTAGATTGATTTGTATCTCTAAATTGGTGTGAACATCTGTGTTCCCCGTGATAAGAGGGCACGCTGTCCAGGGTCTACCTTGCTTTTCACCCTGAGACAGCTGAAGATAGGGTACCACCTCCTATTCAGATGGATGGATGGATAGATAGATTGGTTTTGATGTAATTTCTGCTGAAAAGCGAGTTTTACCCTTTTAGTATTTAAAATAGATATGCTAACTGGAAAAAGACCCACGGCATTCATCTTAAATTATATAAATAAAATAAAAGACTAGGAAGACACATTATGCTGTGGCAGGATATCAGACATCCCCCTGAATCCTAATTAGCTTGTCTAGACCTAAGTAAACAACATTTTCCCAGTGGGCACTTTATATTTGGCTCTTCTGCTGCACTGAGTCAGCATTATGCATTCTTAACATTCTACTAATAGAGTGTGCTAAATATACCTGTAGTACACAGCAAAAATAATTACACAGCTATTCCAGATGCAAGAACAAAGATATTAATGTCTTACTAACATTTTAGGTTTTGGTTCTTCTAATAAACCTTATTGCTTTTCAGATGAAGGGTGAAAGCTGATATTCAGCAGGCCACACATAGATGCCTGAAAAGGCTTCCTTACACTACAAAAGGAAGAAATTCAACATTTAAAGGAATGGGATGATAATAACAAGGAAGCACAGGGAAAATATCAGTTTAAAAATTACCTTGAGAATAGGAGCCTAGTGGATAGCTCAATGTTAAATGCATGATAAAATTAGCTGATGCAATTGTTGCTAATTCTAAGAAAGCAGCAGGGAAAACTCCAAACATTGCTCACATGGAAATCATACCATCTTATAATTAGCACATCACTTGTCTAAACCATTTGGTTTCTAACCTCAGATGGACAGTATATCTAACTCTTCTAGAGGATTACTCAGTGTGCAGATATTTATCCCCACCCTCCCATTAGATATACTGCAATAAGCAGAGTGGTCACAGAAATATGCATGGTAGCAAAGTAATCCATCACGTTGCTGAGGAGATATACATTTTCCTGCTGATAGATAGCTGGCTATAACATGAGCATCACTAGAAGACTTAGCACTCAGATAGTGAAGACCTCTGCCGAGCAGCAAAATTTGCCCCAAATTGCGATCTACAGTGTATAGCTAAAACTTGCATGTGAACTGGATCATTACTAGATTTTAATGAATTGTTCCTTGGTTTGAGGCACGCCTCTTGTAAAGAAAATTCTATAAATGTCATGAAGCGGTGATGGTATGGAGGACCCAAACGCAGAGACCAGTAGGCAGAGGTGAATTAAAGCCTGTTTATTCTGGTACACAGATCCAGAAGCAGGAATCAGAGTCCAACTGAAAATAACAAACGTACCAGAACCAAGGAGACATCAGGGATTAACCTAAACCAGAAGCCAGGGAGAGACGAGACAAGGCAGGCAGATGATAGACGGGAAGTAAGACGAGGATCCAGCCAACAGGAACTGAAGAGGGAGGGCTTTTAAAGGGGACAGAGACAAAGAGAGAGCTGACAAGGAAATTGACAACAGGTGCTGGCAGGACAGAGAAACAGAGCAAGGGAGGACACAAGAGGGCAGCAGATGACAACAAATGGATAACCAAGGAAAACAGGAACAAACAGACCAAGACCCTGACAATAAATTCTATTAATAAGTTTTCAATTGATCTTGCTAACAAACCAAGAATGTTCCCTTGTCTTGTGTTTCTGTCTGATTGTGAGTCTGATGCTGAGGCTGTCAATAGTCACTGCTGCACCCTCTGGTTTAGTGGGGAACTGATTGTTCTTCCAAATATCCCTATTTCACAATGTTTGATAATCTTTTAAAAATAATTCCTGTATCCAGATTATGATGTGGATCATCACCAAAATTATACAGATTGTTCCTTGGCATGAGGGAGATGTCTGATAAAAAATACATAAAACTTTTAAGTTATCCTGTACACAGACATAAGTGTTATAGAGCTGTGGGGGAGTGTTGGCTTTGTGGCCAGAGATGTGAGCTTGTGCTCTAAGTACCCGTTTCAATCTCCACAGCCTGCCCTCTTGGTTCCTGAGCAGGACCCTTAACCCTGCACTAGCCCCCCCGGCGCTGCAAATAGCAGCCCACTGCTCCGCAAGAAGGTGGATTAAATGCGGATAGTGAATTTCTTTGCTTTGTACTTGACAATTTAATGACATTAAAGTTGAATTAAAAACAAAAAAGTTCAAGTTAAATAAATATTATCAAGTCAACTGAATTAAAAAAGAAACAAACAAAAAAATTCAGGAACCAGGATCTCAGAAAATCAATACTTTATCAATTAAGCCACAAAGGCATAATCAGTCCAAATTATAATGAGAATCAAAACAGCTCCCTGTTTAAAGAGCAGCACGTTATATCAAACTCTCTTTGGTTTATATCAAACCTTCACATTCACTTAGTCGAAGACTACTGAAATGTAAACTGAGTAAAT